AATGAAACACATTTGTTAGAAACAAACCTTTGATCTTGACATCAATCACCGTGGCTTGCTTTATTTTTGACACCTCTCTGAGTCTATAAGAGAAGTTCCAACCCAAACACCTAGAATCTGATTTGAGATAAGAGTTTTAATTAAAAAACAAAAACAACCCAGAAACAGTCTTTTGGCTTCAGGACTATTCTTTTATCTATCTATGGAGTACATTTTCTTGGGTATGTGAAATATGGTACTTAACTTTGTCCATAATTTAGATCTCCATTGAACAGATGCTCAAGACTTATAATTTAACTCAAACATTTTAATTACATTTTAACCCATAAAAGCCAAAATGAAAATTCTCTAGTCAATCAAGTTTCACTGCAAAGCTCCAGTTTTAATACCATTTGAAATTTAGTTCTGCTTTTATATGCATTCCCTTTGCCCTTAGCAGCACAATACAAACAATCTGGGTGGCAAGATACTCAGTTAAAACTTGCCTCTTGGGCTTCCCTGGTGGTCCAGTGGTTAAGAATCTGGCTGTCAATGCAGGGGACAGCAGTGTGATTCCTGGTCCAGAAAGATGCCACATACCACAGGGCATTAAACCTGCACTCTGTAACAAGAAAAGCCACTGCAATAAGCCCATGCAGCATGAGTAGCCCCCACTTGCTGCAACTAGGGAAAGCCCATGCAGCAACGAAGACCCAGTGCCGGCAAACATAAATTAAAAAACAAAACAATCTTTCCCTCTTTCCAGGCTCCCTTGTAGCTGGAGACCAAGACACAGTGCAAGTCTGGGCAGGATTTCTGGGAAGGTAAGTAAGGTGGCACTCAACTGCTACGCTCCTTCAGCCCTCATGCTCTCCTCTCTTCCTCAGCGGAGCTGAGATGCAGGAGCATCGAGAGATGAGGATGACAGCCACACGCAAAGGAGAGTGGAGCAGGAAGACAGGAGGAGCTTGGGCCCTCCACAACATCTTTAAATGGCCACCCCATCTGGGGCTACTTCCAGATTTAAAAAAAACAGGGACTTCCCAGTGTTTTAGTAGCTAAGACTCCGAGCTCCCAATACAGGGGCCCTGGGTTCGATCCCTGGTCAGGGAACTAGATCCCACATGCTGCAACTAAGAGTTTGCATTCCAACCAAGAGATTCCACATGTTGCAACTATCCCACATGCAACTAAGACCCTGTGCTGCCAAATGAATAACTATTTAAAAACAAAACCAACAAAACCCCCAAGGCACTGTAAATTGGGTTTTCTGAGCTTGTGGCCAAATACAATTCCAACATAGATACAAAAATAACTGCCTCCTAAAGTAAAAATCAAACACATAAAAGTACAACAAAGGTGAGTGAAAGTCACTCAGTCGTGTAAAACTCTTTGTGACCCCATGAACTATACAGTCCATGGAATTCTCTAGGCCAGAATACTGGAATGGGTAGCCTTTCCCTTCTCCAGGGGATCTTCCTAACCCAGTGGCAGTGCAGTAACTTTATGGCCAGAAGTCTTGAGGCACTTTCTAAAATACCTAATTTATAACCTTAACATACCTGGAAAATACATGGTCCTGTAAGTTTTTAGAAGAAATCATGTTTATTGTCAGCCTAACAATGAAAACCTCTTAAATGCTAAAAACTGGCCAAATGTAAAAATGAATGCCACAAAAGGACAGAAAATAGCATGTAAAAATAAATCTATACATTTATGTTCTGCTGATCTATGAGGGAGCCAATACAATTCAAAGAAAGGATAGTCTTTTTCAATAAATGGCACTGGTACCAATGGATAGTCACATGCAAAAGAAAAAAAGTTAGACCCCTACCTCACTTCATATACAAAAGTTGATTAAAAAAATGGATCAAAGACCTAAAGTTTCTTGTTACTCTAAATTTGTTACAATGTGGAAAAAAAAAGACCTAAGTGTAAGAACTAAAAGTACAAAATGCTTAGGAAACATAGGTGAAAACTGATACTTCGGGACAGGTAACGGTCTTTTAAGTATGAACCAAAAGCATAAGTGACCAAAGGAAAAATAGACAAATGGCTTTAACTAAAATTAAATATATCTGTGCTACAAAAGACAAAACCAAGGAAAAAAAAAAAAAGACCTACTATATAGCACAGTGAACTTAACTCTGTATCTTGTAAAAACCTATAATGGAAAAGAATATGAAAAAGAATATAACAGAACACTGTAAACTAACTATGAAAGTGAAAGTCACATCTGACTCTTTGTGACCCCATGGACTATACAGTCCATGGAATTCTCCAGGCCAGAATACTGGAGAGGGTAGCCTTTCCCTTCTCCAGGGGATCTTCCCAACTCAGGGATCAAACCCAGGCCTTCCACATTGCAGGTGAATTCTTTACCAGCTGAGCTACAAGGGAAGCCCAAGAATAATAGAGTGGGTAGCCTATCCCTTCTTCAGCTGATCTTCCTGACCCAGGAATCAAACTGGGATCTCCTGCATTGCAGGCAGCTTCTTTACCAACTGAGCTATTAAGTATACTTCAATTAAAAAGCTCTTCATAGAAAATAAACATTTCCTTCAAGGTATAAAAAAAAAAGAAAAAAAACCCTATGGAATGGGAGAAATTATCTGCAAATCACGTATCTGATAAGGGTCTAGTATTTAGTATATATATTTTAAAAAACCCTACAACTCAACAACAAAAAGACAAATCAAACAAAAAATGAGCAAAGGATTTGAACATTTTTCAAAAAAAGATAGACAAATGGTCAGTATCCACATGAAAAGATGTTCAGTATCATTAACATAAGGGAAATACAAATCAAAATTAGATACTTCACATGAGTATCACAAAATGAGATACTTCACATCCACTAGGGTATCTATAAACAAATAACAAGTATTGGTGAGGATGTGGGGAAATCAGAACCTTCATGCTTTGCTGGTAGGAGTGTAAGACAGTACAGCTGGTGCAGCCTCTGTGGAAAAAAGTCCCGAAGTTCTTCAGGAAGCTAAATATAGCTATCATAGGACTCAGTAATTCCACTTCTAGGTATATAACTGAGAGAAATGGAAACATGTCCACACAAAAATTTGTACATGAATGTTCTCGACAGCATTGCTTATTAATAGCCAAAAAAACAAAAATAGAAGCAACTCAGATGTCCGTACACTGATGAATGGACAAATAAGATGGGGGTCTAGTCACATAATGGAATATTACAGAGCCATTAAAGGGAATGAGGTACTGACACAGGCTACAACATGCATGAACCTTAACACCTATGCTAAGTAAGAGGCCAGACACAAAAGCATACACATTATTTGATTTCATATCTATGAGGTGCTAGGAAAAGGTAAATTCTGACACTGAAAGCAGATTAGAGGTGACCAGGAATTGGGAGTTATAGGTACCTGGGGTTTAATGGTTAGTGTTTCTGTTTGCATAACAAAAAAGTTTTGGAAGCAGATAGTGGTGATGGTGGCACAACACTGTATATAATTAATACCAGTGAATTATACACTTAAAAGTGGTTAAAACATAGTAAATGTTATACATTCAGTTTAGTCACTCAATTGTGTTCTACTCTTTGCAGCCCCATGGACTGCAGCACGCCAGGCTTCCCTGCCCATCACCAACTCCCGGAGCTTGTTCAAACTCATGTCCGTTGAGTCAGTGATGCCATTCATCATCATCTGTCATCCCCTTCTCCTCCCGCCTTCAATCTTTCCCAGCATCAGGGTCTTTTCCAATGAGTCAGTTCTTCGAATCAGGTGGCCAAAGGATTGGAGTTTCAGCATCAGTCCTTCCAATGAATATTTAGGACTGATCTCCTTTAGGATTGCCTGGTTTGATCTCCCTGCAGTTCAAGGGATTCTCGAGTCTTCTCCAACACCACAGTTCAAAAGCATCAATTCTGCAGCTTTCTTTATAGTCCAATTCTCACATCCATACATGACTACTGGAAAAACCATAGCTTTGACTAGACGAACCTTTGTTAGCAAAGTAATGTCTCTGGCTTTTTAATATACTGTCTAGTTTGGTCATAGCTTTTCTTCCAAGGAGCAAGCATCTTTTAATTTCATGGCTGCAGTCACCTTTCTGCAGTGTTTTACCATTTTTTTTAAAAAAAAGGAATGAGGTACTGATATACATTATAACATGAACAAACCTTGAAAACATTGTCCTGGGTCAAAGAAACAAGACAGGAAAGACCCCTGTTTTACAATTCCATTTATGTGAAATGTCCAGAAAAGGCAAATCCATAGAGACAGTGGGAGGAAGGGGTTGGAAAGGAATTTGGGGAGAATGCTTGCTGAAGAGTACATCTTCTTAGGGTGGTGAAAATTTTCTGGAATCAGTGGTGATGAGAAAAACTTAGTGTACAAAAGGAAATAAACCATGAATATTCATTGGAAGGACTGATGCTGAAGCTGAAGCTCCGATACTTTGGCCACCTGATTTGAAGAGACGACTCATTGGAAAAGACCCTGATGCTGGGAAAGATTGAGGGCAGGAACAGAAGGGGGCGACAGAGGATGAGAAAGTTGGCTGGCATCACTGACTCAATGGACATGAATATGAGCAAACTCTGGGAGATAGTGAAGGACAGGGAAGCCTGGCGTGCTGCAGTCCATGGGGTTGCAAAGAGATGGACATAACTTAGTGACTGAACAGCAACAACAATGTATTATCAACTGCTGAATTGTACACTTGAAAAAGGTGAATACAGTTCCCCCAATTTTTATGTAAATGTCAAAAATAAGCAATGGATTTCTTCTGACATGAAATGTTAGAAATTTCTTTATTATTAATTAAGCACCAGCTTAATACTACAGACATTTCAAATCACCAGGCAACAACTCATTCTTCCCCACCCATCCCACCCCAAATTCTTGATAAAGAGCTCTTCAAGTAAAGACACACGCTCTTCTCTCCTCTGTATAAAACTTTATGAAATAAAGGCAAAGAACTGTGTACATCTTGCTGTGAATGCTGCCCACGGCTGTGGAGCCAGGGTCCACCCGAGGTTGGCTTTATTGTCCAGGTCCTGAAAGACTCTTGTTCATGAACTGTCTCTTCACAAAGCAAGTCCACCACTAACAACGGGGGACAAAACAAGGACAGTGGTGGTCAAATCACAGTGCAGGTTCAAGGTAAGGTCAGAATATGAATTTACTTAACAAGAAAACTTGACAGTGGTCTGGCAGCCCTTACATTATATAAGCTCTTTGAAGGTACATGTAAAATTCTTTTTTTTTCTTTCTTCCTTTCTCTTTTTTTTTTTTTCCTGCAGTGACTCACAGGTCACTCAAAATTATGACAACAAAATAACTACATTAAAACTGTCTCACACAATATCCGTTCTATTGGTTTACAATGCCCCAACCTAAGAACATACAACCAACATTTCTTATTACATGCAATTCATTATTCTCTGTGACTCAGGGAACTCCTACTATGTATAAGGTACCAAAGTTAAGCAATACTACAATGTGAAAACTAAACACCTTAGTGTATTAACAGTGGCTACAGGGTAAAAGGTGATTTATCAACTAAATAGGCAATGAAAAGAGTTTTTACCTTGCTGGGTTTATCATTTTGAGGGTCAAAAACTTTCTCACAAAGTCTCAGTCCAGTCTCTTGCCTCAACTGTTGTAAGTAGGCCCTCATCACTTCTAAAATCAAGAGCAGGTAAAATAAAAAATTATATTTGAGAAAGCATCCCAAATGTGCTAGCTGTTGATTTAGACACCGACCTTGGCAATATTCTTCAACATATGAACAGGGTAAAAAATAGAAATAGCAGTTCAAATGGTTTTAAGATTATACATATTTTGGTCCAAAAGGTTCTCTACGTGTCATACTTGTTGCCAAGGATCTTTTGGGAGAGTGACTCTCACAAAGTAGGATAGTGCATGAGATAATGATTCCACTCTCAACCTGTACAACAATCAAGTTAAGAAAAGGAGGGGGGTAAAAAGTCCAGTGGAGAAAACTGCGTGCCACATAGGAAGGGGGAAGAGATGTTCTTACCATCTTCCTGTTTGTTTGCAGGTTTGGCGTAAATGGCATTAAGTGGAAAACCAGGCTCTCCAGGAATGGGAAAATTAGTGATTCCCAGTGTATACATTTCTTTCTCGCCTTGGCTTTTAGAATTGCACTTAAAAAAAAAAAAGAAATTATATACACAAACGGGAAAAGGGATATAACATTTCAATTTGCAGTTTTTTTAGTCTAAGTGGCTAGGTCTGGGGTTATGATTTTGTGCCCTTTTGTAATCTGGTGAAGCCTGTAGGCTCCTCCTCAGACTAACCTTTTAAATGAATGAAATGAAACAGGACTACACAAGAATCCAATTGTAATGCAATACAATAATTACAATATTTAAAAAATCAAACTCATGACATAGCCACACATGTGCTCTTTAATGCACTAAATAACAAAACTCAGCAGTGGACCTAACAACTGAATTTTGAAGCAGTAAAATGTAAATAAAATTTCAAAATATCTTCAATTCTAAATGTAGTATGAAAATGCAGCAGAAAGTCACAGGTATTGCTAATGCTATTGTGGGTTGCTGCCTACGTTAATAATTAAAGTAAATGCTAGACTTCAGTTGGAGGTTAGTGAAAAGATGTAATCTTTTCTCCACTCAAGTTCATGTACCCCTGAATTCTATCCCTGGACCCCAGGTTAAGAACGCTTGAGCCACGGGCTGAAAAAAGAATATTTTGGTCAAGATTTCAGTCTTGGAAAAATATATGCAAAGCCTTAAAACACCATCATCCTTATCTTCTCATTAGTCAACTACTGTAAGTTTAGACAGCTACATTCAGATTTTCCTTTCAAGTCCATGCTCTAAGTGAGAGGAAATATTTTCTATTTCTCCTTAAAGTCTGAACAAGTCTAAATACCTATTGTGTTCCTGACAAATGATCATCCAGGCTTAATTACCTTTTGGAGTTTCTTTAGACACTCAGAAATGTAGAGAGTTATGTATATCAAGGTCCTATCAGCTTCATTCTATGAGAAGAAAACAAAACTTAAAAACAGTGCTGATCAAAATGCAATAATTATTTGCAATAAAAGAATTCAATCTTTGTCTTTTGATTTATTAACTGAAAACTGAGCACACAGTCATGACAGCATCAAAAATTCCCATTCTCCAAATGCAATCTTCTCAAGCCCTCTGTCTGCTCCTGGGGGGGACAGCCACCGGCTTCCTCCCTGAGCTGGGCGACTGCCCGTTTCCCTCAGCTCCCCTTGCCCTGGGGTCCTGAGCAGTCGTACCGATAACTTCTCCTTCTTGGAAGAGAGCTAACAAAGCCGCCTGGAAAACCTGAGGTGAACCATATGGCTGGTTAATCTTTAAAAGCTCTTTCACTTCAGGATCTCTGCTGAGATTAGAAACATGTTTGACTCTAAAGGAGGAAGCAATTATTTCACAACTGACCTATTCTTGAAGAGCTCCAAAAGTCCAACTCTTGACCTGACCCAAAGGAAAATGTGGAGAAGACAAATGGACGCTAATCAAATATGGCATGTACTTCAGGCCACATTTTATATAGATTCATAATTTTAAATAAACAAACTACACTTTTCCCTATTTTTAAGAGTCTACGATATTCGAAAGAGAATGAAATGTGGTGGAATTTTAATTACAAACACCACACTTAAGACCATGCATTAGATTAGAAACATCTATAACATCATAGATCACAGTTTATTGTCCAAGAGTCTACAAATAAAGATTTCACACCCTGTTGGATTCCAAGAGATTAAAGTTTGGCAAGGAGTTGAAAGAAGCAAAAAGTAAAGGAGAAAAGGAAAGATATACCCATTTGAATACAGAGTTCCAAAGAATAGCAAGGAGAGATAAGAAAGCCTTCCTCAGTGATCAGTGCAAAGAAATAGAAGAAAACAATAGAATGAGAAAGACTAGAGAGCTCTTCAAGAAAATTAGAGATACCAAGGGAATATTTCAAGGAAAGATGCGCTCAATAAAGGACAGAAATGGTATGGACCTAACAGAAACAGAAGATATTAAGAAGAGGTGGCAAGAATACACAGAACTGTACAAAAAAGATCTTCACAACCCAGATAACCATGATGGTGTGGTCACTCACCTAGAGTCAGATATCCTGGAATGTGAAGTCAAGAGGGCCTTAGGAAGCATCACTATGAACAAAGCTAGTGGAGGTGATGGAATTCCAGCTAAAAGAAGTCTTAAAAGATGATGCTGTCAAAGTGCTGCACTCGATATGCCAGCAAATTTGGAAAACTCAGCAGTGGCCACAGGACTGGAAAAAGTCAGTTTTCACTCCAATCTCAAAGAAAGGCAATGCCAAAGAATGCTCAAACTACTGCACAATTGCACTCATCTCACACGCTAGTAAAGTAATGCTTAAAATTCTCCAAGCCAGGCTTCAGCAATAAGTGAACCGAGAACTTCCAGATGTTCAAGCTGGTTTCAGAAAAGGCAGAGGAACCAGAGATCAAATTGCCAACATTCGCTGGATCATCGAGAAAGCAAGAGAGTTCCAGAAAAACATCTATTTCTGCTTTATTGAGTATGCCAAAGTCTTTGACTGTGAGGATCACAATAAACTGTGGAAAATTCTGAAAGAGATGGGAATACCAGACCACCTGATCTGCCTCTTGAGAAGCCTGTATACAGGTCAGGAAGCAACAGTTAGAACTGGACATGGAACAACAGACTGGTTCCAAATTGGGAATGGAGTACATCAAGGCTGTATACTGTCACCCTGCTTATTTAACTTATGTGCAGAGTACATCATGAGAAACACTGGACTGGGTGAAGCACAAGCTGGAATCAAGATTGCCTGGAGAAAGATCAATAACCTCAGATATGCAGATGACACCACCCTTATGGCAGAAAGTGAAAAAGAACTAAAGAACCTCTTGATGAGAGTGAAAGAGGAGAGTGAAAAAGTTGGCTTAAAGCTCAACATTCAAAAATAAATAAGTAAAGCTCAACATTCAGAAAACTAAGATCATGGCATCCAATCCCATCACTTTAGGGCAAATAGATGGGGAAACAGTGGAAACAGTGGCAGACTTTATTTTCTTGGGCTCCAAAATCACTGCAGATGGTGACTGAAGCTATGAAATTAAAAAATGCTTACTCCTTGAAAGTAAAGTTATGACCAACCTAGACAGCATATATATATATATTTTTTTTAAGATTTATTTATTATGTGGCAGCGTTGGGTCTGAGCTGTGGCATGTGGGATCTTCCCGTGACATGGGGGATCTTTCATTACGGCACACGGATTCTCTATTTGCGGTGCAAGGGCTCAGTAGTTGCAGCACACAGGCTGAGTTGCTCTGTGGCATGTGGGATCTTAGTTCCCTGACCAGGAATCGAACCCATGTCCTCTGCATTGCAAAGGTGATTCCTAACCACTGGACGTCAGGGAAGTCCCTAGACAGCATATTAAAAAGCAGAGATATTACTTTACCAATGAAGGTCTGTCTAGTCAAAGCTATGCATTTTCCCAGCAGTCATGTATGGATGTGAGAGTTGGACCATAAAGAAAGCTGAGTGCCGAAGAATTGATGCTTTCAACTATGGTGTTAGAGAAGACTCTTGAGAGTCCCTTGGACTGCAAGGAGATCCAACCAGTCCATCCTAAAGGAGATCAGTCCTGGGTGTTCACTGGAAGGACTGATGTTGAAGCTGAAACTCCAATACTTTGGCCACCTGATGCAAAGAACTGACTCATTTGAAAAGACCCTGATGCTGGGAAAGATTGAAGGGAGAAGGAGAAGGTGATGACAGAGAATGAGATGGTTGACATGAGATTGGGTAAACTCCAGGAGGTGGTGATGAAGGGGGAGGTCTGGCGTGCTACACTCCATGGGGTCACAAAGAGTTGGACACGACTGAGTGACTGAACTGAACTGAAATTCCATAATCTAGAACATTATCAAGAAGATTTAGTGACACTCCTTGTAACTTGTTCATAGCAGCATCTCAGAGAACTTCTTTCCATTTCTCCCTCTCCTTTTCTACCCACTTCCACTTCTCCCTTCCTCCTGAGATCACAAGGACTAGGAGGTTGAGGGAAGGGTCCAGGACACAGAAGTATATAAACATCAGCATGCAAAATTTTTTGGTTTTGGACTCATACAAAGTAGGTGCTTAATACTGCTGAGTAAATAAACATAAAGAAGTGTCTAGACAAGGGTAAATCTCCTCAGTATAGGACCAAACAATATTTTAAGCTTTGGGAGCCACAGTCTGTCACAACTACTCAACTCAGCTGCTGTGGCATGAAAGTACCCACAGGTGATGTGTAAACAAATGCAAATGGCTATGTTCCAGTAGAATTATTTACAAAAAGATGTGGTAGGCCAGATTTGGCCCTTAGACAGTAGTCTGCAAAACCATGGTGAACTAAGATTAATATAGAATTAGGCACTGTTCTGGATTTTTAAAATCATACAATCTAATTTCATTTTACTTATTCCTCACATTAACTCTGACTGCCAAGTAGATACTATCCCCATCAGAAAACTAAAGAGCAAAAGTTTTGTACTTTACCTTAATTTCATAGTTTTTGAAGAAGACATTGGCCTTAAAGTAATAGATAGCTTCATCCACAATATCTGTATCTTTTGCTAAGCAGGGCAGGATGGGAGAAAGGCAGAGGATGTTAGCCAAATGTAAAATACAACATTTAAAAAGCAATTAAAAAAAAAAGCTCAACAGTCAAGGGCTTTGGAATTGAATAACATAGAATCAGGCTACTGAAACAAAGTCTTTAGAAAAAATTTCTAGAAATATAAGCACATGGTTTATTCAGACAGCTTTATTGTCTTTATAAAAATTATACATGCTCATTATAGAAACAAATGAATCAATACAGGAAAAAAAAAGTAATTTGTCACCCTAATCTCACTACCCAGAAATAACTAGTCTCAGCATTTGGTGAACATCACTCCAGACATTTCTCAGTGCATGTACAAAAACAGACTGAGACACAGACTAAATTTAATAAATTGCTTTCTTAAAAATATTTGGATGGCAAAAAAGTTCCTTCGGGTTTTTCCAAAAGATGTTACAGAAAACCCCAACGAACTTTTTGGCCAACCCAATACAAAGAATTCCATACAATTTTATTTGAACTTACATACTACAGCTTTAGGGGAAAAAACTCTCAGCTGTTCATTTAGGACATACTGGGATTCACACATACATCTTTCTTTTTACAAAAACTGTGACTTCAAATATGTACAATCTGTTCAAGGTGGCTAGAGACTGAGAAAAACCAGAAGTACTGTTGTAACAAAGACAGATCTCATTACAAAATTTCTTTGGCTTTTTTTGGGTTTTCCTTTTTTTATTTTAAAAAGGTCACAGTCCCAGGGTCTTGATATCCGGCAGCCGGTTTTAGCAATGCAGAAACAGTTATTTTTATTTCGCAACCCCAACTGCTATCCCTCTCACACAGCAGAAACGCAGAAGCTTTCATACTCTAATCCAGTTGTCTTTATCTTTGCCCATTCCCTTGCTGGAGAATTTTAACAGAACTCTTAAAATTTTTTGGACATGTGGGATCTTAGTTCCCCATCCAAGGGTCGAACCCACACCCCCTGTAGTGAAAGCATGCGTCTTAACCAGTGGACCACCACAGAAGTCCCGAACAGAATTCTAGCTCTAGACTTATGTTCCCTATGATCTATTCTCTTATTTACAAAAAAGAAACTTCCTTCTATGATCCCACAGTGCTTACAAAAGCCGGCTAGCTCTAGTGTCATGTTGCAGAGGAAGGGAAAAGAGGCTAGCTGATAGGATTCAGGCTAGCTGATAGGATTCAGAACATAGAAGAGCATTTGGCATATATAAGGTGTTCAAAAGATATCTGTTGAATGTAAATAACTAGATTAATGCTAAAAGTTACTTAATCCATAGCACAGGCTTAGATTTCTCCATAATTCCAATTCAGTCCTATTCCAGCCCCCTAGGGAAGAGTAACAAGTCACTCTTAACTATAGAAATCATGAAGTTCCAGTTTCCTGCAGTCCCAATCTCTCTCAAGGGCCCAAGAATTGCAAAGGTGGTAATGAAATTTACTTCATCCTTGGTCAATAATGTCTTCTGATATACTATATGGTATTTTGTCACAATCTGGGAAGTAATCTGATCAAACACTGATCCTTATTCTTCCTCTGCAAAAGAATAATGTCATTCTTTTACATTATTTTTCCTGTTTTGGTGGCTTTTTTTTTCCATCTCAGAACAAGAGTGTGGTGACTCACCAAATTTATTAAGTTTACTGAGCTTTAAACTGGTATTGAAAACAAAACTAAATTAAGAGGAAGTCAAGTCAAATAAACTGGCCAGAAGAATGGAGACAGGGTCAGTACAAAATTAGTAATCTAAACTATGGTCTTGGAAACCACAAACGGAACTCAGTGCAGACCCTTCCTGGGTGCAGAGAAACCACGTCTAATATAATATAAATTGCACTGTTGGCAGAACATCTCAGAATGTCATCAGAAGAGTCTCAGATAGTATCTGAAAAGAATGAGGCATTCTGAACAGAGAAAAAAAAAGCTCCAAAAAAAAAAGGTGAGTGACAAGAAAGAAAGCAAAAGATACAAAAATTCAGAAAAGAGAAGAAATGAATAATGTTATACAGGACACTTAAGACTGAGGTATTGGTAAAAAATGGGATCCTGAAAAATGGACAAAGGAAGTAGATTTAGATAAAGAAAGAGGTTAACCAAAATGCAAAAGAGAAAAAGAGACACAGATGTACAGAACAGACTTTTGGACTCTGTGGGAGAAGGCGAGGGTGGGATGTTCTGAGAGAATAGCATTGAAACCAGTATACTATCAAGGGTGAAACAGATCACCAGCCCAGGTTGGATGCACGAGACAAATGCTCAGGGCTGGTGCACTGGGAAGACCCAGAGGGATGGGATGGGGAGGGAGGCGGGAGGGGGGATCGGGATGGGGAACACATGTAAATCCATGGCTGATTCATGTCAATGTATGGCAAAAACCACTATAATACTGTAAAGTAGTTAGCCTCCAACTAATGAAAATAAATGAAAAAAAAAAAAAAAAAAGAGGTTAAAACACACTTTGTTTTTTCCAGCTTGATGACAGAGAAAGGATGGGGACACGGAGTTATACAGAAGCAGCAGCATTAGATTTTTAAGAACTGACAGTGATGATAGGGAGACTGTTGAGAATTAAGCACATTTCCTCCTCCCTCTCAACAAAATATCCCAGAGAAACTGGCAGCAATAATAGTTTCTTTTTTTTTTTTACAGTTTCTTATTAAATGCAACATCTACGCAAGATTTGAGAAGGTAGAAAGCACAATATCCATCAAGCAAATAGAAAACACAAGAGCAATCTGAGAAAGTATTTCCCTGATGTGCTAACATCAGAGGGTTTCATACCAAAATGTGAAAATAATGGAAAGGGGTTTTGACTTACTCTCTCTAGGGGCAGGTCCTTTGAACTGACTTCTGATAGGCAATAGTGCCATGTTTCCAATGAGTTTGGTGTCAGGGTCCATGAGGGAAGAGTGGTAAGCCTGTAGGGACAAGCCAGGTAAGAACACAGAAGCAGAAAGAGAGCAAATGTCACTGGGGCAAACAAGTCCTTTTTCCTAAAGGAAAAAAAAGAATAACTAATCCAAGATAAACTGGCTCATGAAAACTATCAAAGTTTGAGGAATTCTGAGAAAATCCGAGGCACTCTGATTGTTGAACACAGCCATTATTAAAAATAAAATTATATAAATTTTCAATTAAATAAATTATATTAAAAACAAAGGTAATAAATATTTGACACTTTCATTATTTCCTTTTTTAAAATTATTTTACCAATATCTGTGGTCTTAAGGTTAGTTATGTCTTTTGTACCTACCGTGGAAAGACTATATGATAACGTGCTACTGTGCTTCCCTACCAATTTCACATTTGGTGACAGCACATTGGTAACTGGTGGGGTATTCACACTATAGAAATAGGCAAACACTATATAAATCAGAGGTACCCAGCAACCCAGCTGTTGTTAAAACCACAATCCAAGCACTGGCTCTTCAGCTCTGCCACTTCCTGGCTTTATGCCTTTTGACCAAGCCATCACTTTTCTTCTCTTAGCCTATTTCCACATTTGTAAAATAAAAACATATATACTTGTTTTCAGTGGGTGGATATGAGTTAGAGGAGGGAGAAAAAAATCACATTTATGAGAACAATTTATAAGCCAATTTCTAGTTCGGCATTTTACAAGATGTCTGGCTTTTTGTAAGACAACATGGGCCCCAGTCATTTATTCATTCATTCATCAAAAGATTACTAAGTACCTTCTGTGTGCAAGGCATGTGGATATACTGGCATGCAAGACCAGCCCTGGCTCTGTCAGGTGAATAGAGGAGACAGATAATAAGGAAGTCACAGGGTGCTCTTTGTGCACCTGGAATGATGAGCACAAGGCGTCAGGGTTCTGACTTAAAATCTGGCTTTATCAAGATTTACTAGTGTGCTTATGTATTTAAGGGCTTCCCTAGTGGTTCAAATGGTAAAGAATCTGCCTGCAAAGCAGGAGACTTGGGTTCAATCCCTGGGTCAGAAAGATCCTCTGGAGGAGGAAATGGCAACCCACTCCATTATTCTTGGCTAGAGGAGGAGCCCAGGATTCTTGCCTAGGACAGAGGAGTTTAGTAGGACCCATGGGATCCCAAAGAGTCGGACTCGACTGAGTGACTAACTTTCACTTTATGTGAAAATGGATTTAAAATGGATAACCAACAAGGACCTACTGTACAGCACATGGAACTCTACCCATTTTATGTGGCAGCCTGGATGGGAGGGGAGTGTGGGGAAGAACAGATACATGTATATGTATGGCTGAGTCCCTTTGCTGATCACCTTAAACTATCACAACATTGTTAATCTACTACACCCCAATACAAACACACAACACACGCACACACTAGTGTGCAACTTTGGGCAAGTTACTTAACTTCTCTGAGCATCAACTTCCTCCTTTGCAAAATGAAAAACCACTAACATATCTACTTCATAATCACTCTGAGGATTAATTAGGGAATAATTTATACAAACTGTAGCTCAGAGCTGGCCTGACATGCATCAGGAGTCAAATGGTAGCTGTGGGATTTACGAAATATATAACTATGGTTTGCTCCTTTTTTATTACAGATACGCTTTATCTAACGCAGCTCCTATCCTCCCCTGCACTAGCTATATTGTCTTGTTACCCACTTATTACCTTCATGACATTTGTCACTATCTGAAACAATCCCCCTTATTTTATTTACATTTACAGATTTATTATGTCTCCTCATTAGAATGTAAACTCCTTAAGAATAGGGATTTGTTGGCCTTATTCACTGCTATAATAGTGCTTTGGCATGCAGCAGATGCTAAACATCACATGTTACTGAACATGCTTTTTCCTCATCTGCAAAATGGAGACCATGATGGTGATAAATCTACCCCTGTGGCTGTCAGAAATTAAGAACAACAAAACCACCATCAATTTTAACTCCTACTCTGATGCACATGAAAACAAACATTTGGAAACTAGGCGCGGACCTTGCACCTGCTCTGAGAGCCCTAAACCCAGCGGCTCAGGTGTGGCAGCCACTGCCGGGGCGACAAGGGAGGAGGAGTCCGGGAAGCGGGGTCGGACAGGGGACAGGCAGCATAAGGGACCCGCCTCCAGAGGCGAAGGAGGAAGTGGGCCTACAGGGGAAAAAAAAAAAAAAAAGCCGGGCCCTAGCTGAGATATGAGAAATTAGAAGGGCAGCCCTTGCCTTCCCGGCTCTAGTGAGGCTTTGGGAACCCCGCTGGAATCGGGGGGAAGGGGAGAGGCACAAAAAGCGATAAAAAGGATCAAACTTGGAGAGGAGAGATCAGAAGAGTTGAGGCGGTCTCCTCGGCAGGCCCCGGGTCTCTAGCCCACTCTGCCGTGCGCTGTTCCTCCATGGCTGGCCGACACCCCCGGGCCGCCCTAATCCCACAGAGGCCGGCCCCTCTCCTCTTGCCTTTCCTCTTCTCAGGCCCCTGCTTTCTCTCTGCCCTCCTCGGCCCACTTTTCTCAGCGCACGCAAGACTTCTCGCGACTCTCTCAAATCCCCGCCGTCTCCCGACACCCCCAACTTGGCCCCTTTACCGGCATCTTGAAGGCGCCCGGGTCTCTACCCTAACGAAAAGAATCTGGTTAGCGCTCGGCAGTTCCGGTCTGGCAGCCGGGGCGGGGTAGGCGGAAGTGAGCCGGAAGGGGAGGGCGAGGGCAGGACGCCGCGCTTCCGGCCTTGCAGTTTGTGGCTAGCCGCCGCAGCTGCGAGGATCCGACAGGGCACCAGGGGGCGCTCGAACCCTAGGCAGGGGCTCTAAGTATCGCGCCTGCATCGTGTGGGCGAGAATGAGGTTGATTTCGGGGTTACAGGACGTAGATAAATCACCTCTTTTGTTTTTTCTCAAAGATCACCTTTTCAGTGTAGCATTCCCTGGGTCATCCTAAATTCAGTCCAACTTCATTCCCCTTTCCCTCAGTTCTTATGATTCTTTTATGTTTTACTTCTGGATTTTGTCTCCCTACATTCGTATAAACGTCAAAAATGCAAGGATTGTCTATTTTGTTCACTGCTTATATCCCTATGCCTGTAACAGGATGGTACATGGTAAGCATCAATAATATGTGTTGAGTGAAAGAATGAACTCAATCCACTGATTTTAAAAAGGAAAAAACGATCACAGAAGAGATTTGTGTATTTGTGCATTACTGTTGTGTGATTACGTACTGCGATTCTTTGTGTAACGGTTGAAAAACAGACTCTGGGTTTGAATCCAGCTCCAACATTTATTGGCTGTGTCACTTTGGGCAAGTTAACCTCCATACCTCAGTTTCCTCATCTGAAAATGGAGATAACAGTGATTACCTCAGTTTTGTGAGGATGAAATGAATTGCATGGAATGTGCTTAGAACTTATGCCTGGAACATACTAAAAGCTAAGGAATTCTTAACCTTTACTGGAAAGCACCTCAAGTTAAAAGCCAAGTTCACTGCTGCTTCTGGCCATTTCTTTTGCCAGTCCCACAGAATGAATTACTTTGTCCCATGTTCCCACAACTGATCTCTCATTTATATTTCTGGCCAAATTGCACCTTTTAGGAGGAGACTTCCTTGGTGGTCTAAGATGGTAAACATAGTCTTCCTTGGTGACTCAGATGGTAAAGAATCTGCCTGCAATGCAGGAGACCCAGGTTCAAGGTTCTCCAGGGAAGAATCCCTGGGCATGGGAACCCACTCCAGTATTCTTGCCTGGAGAATTCCATGGACAGCGGAGCCTGGTGGGCTACAATTCATGGAGTCACAGAGTTGGACACGACTGAGTGACTAACACACAAGAGGAGGCTTCTTTGATGGGAGCAAAGTAGCCCCACAATCACTCTCCTTTTCCTTTTTTTTCTTCTTCACATTCCTTATTAGAGACTTCCTTGTTTATAATTAGTCTTAAGGGCCCAGCAGATCAGCTCGATGAGACTACGGTCCTTTTTGGCCTCCGCATTCCTCTTCTTTCCATACCTGGCACCTACTCATAAATTTGTCTGAAGAATCATGTCAGGCTCTGCTACAAGGCAGTGAAATCTTTCAGGACTGGAATTGTCATATTCATCTTTTAAACCCCCGTGTCCAGAGGGGAAGGAAATGGAATCTGGCTGTTCACTTTTCCCCACAGGAAACGCCAAACTCCCTGCAGGCTAAATGAGGGAGCTATCGCGCAAGCAGGATGAGGGCAAATGAAAAGCTGTCTTATCTTTCCTCCTCTCACACGGCAGTGGCATTTCTAAAATCTAGCAACACTGAGAGATCAGGGTGTTTTTGCCCTTTGCATACTCAAGGGCCACAGAAAAAAGAAAACGCAAGTTCCAGGAAAACATCTACTTCTGCTTTATCGAGTATGCCAAAGCCTTTGACTGTGTGGATCACAACAAACTGTGGAAAATTCTTAAAGAGATGGGAACACCAGACCACCTGACCTGCCTCCTGAGAAACCTGTATGCAGGTCAGGAAGCAATAGTTAGAATTGGACATGGAACAACAGACTGGTTCCAAATAGGAAAAGGAGTACGTCAGGCTGCTTATTTATTGTCACCCTGCTTATTTAACTTATATGCAGAGTACATCATGAGAAACGTTGGGCTGGAGGAAGCACAAGCTGGAATCAAGACTGCCGGGAGAAATATCAATAACCTCAGATATGCAGATGACACCACCCTTATGGCAGAAAGTGAAGAACTAAAGAACCTCTTGATGAAAGTGAAAGAGCAGAGCGAAAAAGTTGGCTTAAAGCTCAACATTCAGAAAACTATGATCATGGCATCTGGTCCTATCACTTCATGGCAAATAGATGGGAAAATAGTGGAAACAGTGACAACTTAATTTTTTTGGATTCCAAAATCACTGCAGATGGTGACTGTAGCCATGAAATTAAAAGACGCTTGCTCCTTGGAAGAAAAGTTATGATCAACCTAGACAGCGTATTAAAAAGCAGAGACATTACTTTGCCAACAAAGGTCTGTCTAGTCGAGGCTATGGTTTTTCCAGTAGTCATGTATGGATGTAAGAGTTGGACTATAAAGAAAGCTGAGCGCCGAAGAATTGATGCTTTTGAACTGTGGTGTTGGAGAAGACTCTTGAGAGTCCCTTGGGCTGCAAGGAGATCCAACCAGTCCATCCTAAAGGAGATCAGTCCTGAGTCCTTCACTGGAAGGACTGATGTTGAAGCTGAAACTCCAATACTTTGGTCACCCTGATGCAAAGAGCTGGAAAAGACTCTGATGGTGGGAAAGACTGAAGGCAGGAAGAGAAGGGGACGACAGAGGATGAGATGGTTGAATGGCATCACCGACTCAGGGGACATGAGTTGGAGTAAACTCCGGGAGGCCTGGCATGCTGCAGTCCATGGGATTGCAAAGAGTCGGATACAACTGAGTGAATGAACTGAACTGGGCCACAGAAAAAGCCCCTGGGAAGCCCAGTCTGTCCTCATGTTGTCTACTACTCATGTTCTCCTAAGTGCCCCTGTGAGAATTAGCTCACACCAGCAGATCATGGTGCAAATACCCAACTCTTGCCCCCAGCCTGGGCCCCTAGGCATATTGCTATCAGTTACCCCTGATAGCTACGGCTCCTCACACTTTACATCTTTAATGAAAATGGATCAAATTTTACACTGTAGGTGTACTTCTGCTATCTAGGCCCAAGAATGATTAAAAATTTAACCTGAGTTGCAGGTTTTCTACAAGGACTTGATCTGCATCAACAGGAAGATCCAACACCAATGGAACCTGGACCTGCTGTGAAGATTAAATGAGATTCTGCTTTCCGTAGCAGGTTCTGGGTTATTAGTGGGTGCTGGAGAAGTATCTGTTGACTGATTAGCCATTCCCCAGTACCTATCACAAATGAACTTAGAAATACTGAAAATAAACAACTCAATGTGGCAAGAAGGTAAAAAGAAAAAATTATGTTTTTTGCATTTTTGTGTGCATTTGTTATTAAAGGAAAGTATACATTTTTAAAGTGCTCAGAGACTATAAACCACATTTTAAAAAACAAAGTCACTGCCTACACTTTGACACTTGGGGAAACTTACTCATTCAAAAATTTGCCTTAGATGAGTATTTCAAATTCTGATTGGAAAACAAGAGTGTGATGAAAAGTTAGTGCTATTTTTCTTTTATTTATATATATATCTTAAGACACAGTTACTTTTTTCATTTTTTAATTACACAAATAATACATTTTCAGTGTATGAAAACTAGAAGCTACTGATAAGCAATGGTCTTATCTCTATCCTTCCAGATTTTATTTCTTTGGACACATAATGTATATTTTGTTACAATAATTCCTGTCCCTCCAAAAAAAGCTTCAAAAATAACAAAGATCAACAGTGAAACTAAAAGTAGACTGGTCTTAACTGTACCCCAGGTCCTAATTTATATTGTATATACAAATCTATGTACATTCAACTTCGACTTTTAAAATCTAAATTGATGCTGTTAAAATAATACCAAACAATGCCACTTTAAACAGAAGTACTTTCAGAATACCTAAGAACTTGATTCAGGCACGCTGATGATTGCTGATAAAGAGTCAAGTATTTTTTTTTTTCATTAAGTAAGTAGCTTTCTCTAGCATTCCACCTTTCAAGAGAAGAAGGTTCTGCCAGTTCAGCCACAAGCTCCTCACACATATAGTTACTTTTCAATAAACTCTTCATTCATTCTGGTGTTCTTGAAAATATTCATCAAACATAGAAGACGACTCATCTTCATGTTCCTGACACCAAGGAAACACAAGATAGAAAATAGATTTATTTCAGAACTTCCCTGATGGTCCAGTGGCTAAGAATCTGCACTCCAAATGCAGGGGGCCCAGGTTCGATCCTTGGTCAGGGAACTAGATACCACATGCTGCAACTAAGAGTTCATATGCCACAACTAAAAACAATCCCACATGCAGCACAGCCAAATAAATAAAATGTAAAAAAAAAGAAGAAAATACACTCATGTCCCCTCAGTTATACCTAATATGTGCTTGCTATTTTTAGGCAATGCTCTATAAAGAGCTAAGGCCCAGCACCAGCTCCAGGTGTTGTTCACAGTAATCAATAATAACAAGAAGAATGATGGATAGAATGTTTCCAGATATGTGATAAATTAAAAGGCTTATGGGGAGTCCCTGGTGGCTCAGATGGTAAAGAATCCTCCTGGAATGCAGGAGACCTGGGTTCAATCCCTGGGATGGGAAGATTCCTTGGAGGAGGGCATGGCAACCCACTCTAGTATTCTTGCCTGGAGACTCCCATGGACAGAGGAACCTGGCAGGGTCGCAGAGAGTTGGACCCGACTGATCAATTAAGCACAGCATAGCAAAAGGTTTGTGTCCCATTAGAAGTAAACTCTTACTTGAATTTACATTCACGTCATTCTCAGCTAATGCGTTGGGAGAGGGCCCCACTGACATTTGTGAAGGCAGCCCAAGGCCAGTTGAATTTCACCTCCTCTTTGCATATATGCCCAAGCTCTGAGTACAAAGAATTTAACTCAGTAATATGTACTAACTCAATGAAAGGCAAAGTAAAACTGGCATTGCTTGTTTAGCACAGGTGTCAATTACAAAGATTACCTGGAACAGTCTAGCTTACTGCCACCATGAAGACAAAATTTAGAGTTGCTGGGATTATGTAGGAGGCCAGAGTGCTGGTAAACACTTTTACAAATAGGCAGTAACACCCCAAACCAGAAATTACCTTTGGTTCTTTAAATTCCAAGTCTTCTCCATACTGGATGGCAAAATCAATATGCTGTAATACAATGTTCATGCTTTCTTCATCTGACTGATCATAAGGCAAAAATCGAACCATGCTGTAGTCATCAATCTACAAGTTGAGGATTTCAGAAAAGGTCATTCTGAGGTATAAAATACTTAATTTTCAAATTATATGAGTTTTATAACCATTTACAACTTCTGATTAGAATCAGCTGTGTGTGTGCTGTGGGCAGGAGGGACAGAGACAAAACAGCAGCAAATCAATACTGATTTTTCTGACCTCTGACCAACTACAACACTTAACTAGACATTGTTTCATAGGCATTTACCTGAATTAAAAAACCACTGGAAATTTCCTAAGGGCAAAGACAGTTCTGAACTCCCAAAACAGCTTGGAGTAATAGGTATGTCAGTTAGTTCAGTTCAGTTGTGTCCGACTCTTTGCGACCCCATGAACTGCAGCACGCCAGGCCTCCCTGTCCATCACCAACTCCCGGAGTTCACCCACACCCATGTCCATTGTGTCGGTGATGCCATCCAACCATCGCATCCTCTGTCGTCCCCTTCTCCTCTGGCCCTCAATCTTTCCCAGCATCAGGGTCTTTTCAAATGAGTCAGCTCTCCCCATCAGGTGGCCGAAGTATTGGAGTTACAGCTTCAACAGCAGTCCTTCCAATCAACACCCAGGACTGATCTCCTTTAGGATGGACTGGATGGATCTCCTTGCAGCCCAAGGGACTCTCAAGAGTCTTCTCCAACACCACAGTTCAAAAGCATCAATTCTTCGGCGCTCAGCTTTCTTCACAGTCCAACTCTCACCTCCATACATGACTACTGGAAAAACCGTAGCCTTGACTAGACGGACCTTTGTTGGCAAAGTAATGTCTCTGCTTTTTAATATGCTGTCTAGGTTGGTCATAACTTTCCTTCCAAGGAGTAAGCGTCTTTTAATTTCATGGCTGCAATCACCATCCACAGTGATTTTGGGGCCCAGAAAAATAAAGTCAGCCACTGTTTCCACTGTTTCCCCACCTATTTGCCATGAACTCATGGGACTGGATGCCATGATCTTAGTTTTCTGAATGCTGAATTTTAAGCCAACTTTTTCGCTCTCCTCTTTCACTTTCATCAAGAGGCTCTTTAGTTCTTCTTCACTTTCTGCCATAAGGGTGGTGTCATCTGCATATCTGAGGTTATTGATATTTCTCCCGGCAATCTTGATTCCAGCTTGTGCTTCCTCCAGCCCAACGTTTCTCATGATGTACTCTGCATATAAGTTAAATAAGCAGGGTGACAATAAATAAGCAGCTTTGATGTACTCCTTTTCCTATTTGGAACCAGTCTGTTGTTCCATGTCCAGTTCTAACTGTTGCTTCCTGACCTGTATACAGGCTTCTCAAGAGGCAGGTCAGGTGGTCTGGTATTCCCATCTCTTGAAGAATTTTCCACAGTTTATTGTGATCCACACAGTCAAAGGCTTTGGCATACTCAATAAAGCAGAAATAGATGTTTTTCTGGAACTCTTTTGCTTTTTCGATGATCCAGCGGATGTTGGCAATTTGATCTCTGGTTCCGCTGCCTTTTCTAAAACCAGCTTGAACATCTGGAAGTTCACGGTTCACGTACTGCTGAAGCCTGGCTTGGAGAATTTTAAGCATTACTTTACTAGCGTGTGAGATGAGTGCAATTGTGCGGTAGTTTGAGCATTCTTGGGCACTGCCTTTCTTTGGGATTGGAATGAAAACTGACCTTTTAATTTATTGGCTATTGCCAATGATTGCTTCTAAATTCAACTGCTGACCAGCCAGTCCACAGACTCCCACCCTCACCCCTTTGCAAGGAAATAGGGTTGGACTGTGCTTTCCAAAATGGTGGCCACTGAAATGATGCTGATAAACACCTGACAAGGCCATTAAAAACAAAACTCAACAACTTCAAAAGCTTACCAGTCCACATATAGCGTTAGTCAATTTTTTGAATTTTTTGCTTCTTAAATCACTTGTAGAGTCATCTAATAAAGAATACATATCTGGATCTAGAAACCTTTAAAAGTGAGAAAGAAGATAAATAAAAGTAAGAATAAATTAGGAAACGAGTTTTATAGTTTCACATCTAAATGAAGCTTGGAGGGTTCATCTCAACAATGGAGATATGATGATAACAGAAATGAACTCACTTCTCAATTTCCTTTTTAGCTTTCTTACTCAGCAGATCCATTTTCGTCATGATGTTAACTTGAGGAATTTCTAGAGAGATCATAGCACTCAGCGCTGCCAAAATGCCAGAAATAAACTGAAGGAGGAAACAGAAAAGGGACGATGAATTAACTTTGTATGAACAAAGTTCCCTGGTCTCTGTACAAAGCAGAGGTTCCTGCTCCTCTCTGAGCAAAACTGGCCTAAGTAAAAGCAGGGCTAACTCTAAAGGAAGGACAGTTCACTAATCAGATGGTTGACTCCTGGCTTCCCAGGCTGAGGATGAGACGGGAAAATGCAGATATAAACAACAGTGATCACAAATCTCAATTTAGATGATATCTTTAAGCATTCCCATCAAATATTCCTTACAGGCTACTAATGAGAAGTCAAGTTGCTTTAGTTAGTTCATAAACTAGACAAACCATTATCAGAAAAACAGATGTATATATGCACACATTTGCCTAATTTTTCTTCATAAGTGGTACTCCCAAATCTGTATAGTATAATTTACCATATAAATTTAAAAAATACATGATTATAGCAACCTCCTTGGCAGTCCAATGGTTAAGACTCAGTGCTTCCACTTCAGGAGGCACAGTTCAATCCCCAGTCAGGGAACTAAGATCCTGCATGCAGCAAAGAATGGCCAAAAAAAAAAAAAACTTATTATAATGATTTAATAGTAAGGGATATTAAATAACTCTGGAGTATAGTTTGGGAAATATCCAGAATCAAAAAACAATTAAAGGAGATTGCCATCTGCCTGTACCCATGACTAAAGAATTGACAACAGATATATTCTTAAACCTTGAACGACTCCACCATGAACTGAGAATCAACAAGAAAAACTCCACAGACTCGAAACTCCCACTGTTCCAGCTGCTGGACCAGCTGTTTCATCACAGGCAGGTGAGTGTACAACTCGATCTGACCTACATGGAGAACATTATGAGTCTGTTACAATCAGGACACAAGATAAATTATCAAATTACAGAAAAAAATTTTGCCATAAGACAACTGAGGGGAAAAAAAGGAAGTCAACCTCTGGCGATAATTTGTTCAACTTTTAAGGGGTCTTACAGGTTCTTAAAGCAATCAAATACCCAGAGAATCCCAAGGAAACTATTCAGTTTTATGTAGAAAGTGAGGTTCTTCACACTTCTGTTTTAGCTAATCAAAAGCAAGTACTATGAAGGTGTGTTAGGTTTGGGAATATTCATCAAGTTGTACACTTATGACATCTGCACTTTTCTGTGGGTGTGTGTGTTCAATTAAAAACAAAGGGGAAACCAACACAATATTGTAAAGCAATTTCCCAATTAAAGATAAACTAAAAAAAAAAAAAGGGAAAAATATGAGAGTCACAAATGATCAAAACTAGGTTAGGCTCAAGTCTAAAATTCATTTGGCTTGAGAAGTTGGTGTGATCATTTGTCCCCTACCAGTCTCACCTCAGGACACTTCCCTCTGTTTACTGGGCGCCTCAGACCCACCTGGCTCCTTTCTGCCTCAAGGCCTTCAGCCCATGCTTTCTGCCTGGAGCACAGTCTCCCCCGCCTCACCCTATGGCCTGGCTCACATGCTAGTTGGTCAGAAACCTCCCACCTCCCTGCTGCATAATGGTCGGTACTACTCCTGTGAGGAGCCTGTCACAAATATTAAATAATCATTTGGGTGATTTCTGATTCGTACTGCCTAGCATTCCCACTCTCCTATGAGCTCCATGAGGGCAGAGAGCATGGCTACTTTGCTCTTTAGGTATTTCCAGTGAACAAAATTAGCACTCAGCAAACTTGGTGAATGAACAAGAGACGATCAATGAGCGAATGGTACCTTACTGCAGCAGGGTTTAGAGCTACAAATGCTAACTCCACTCTCTCCACTGAGGACTGAAAGAGCATGATCTCAAAGAAAATGACACATTCAAATTGCTGACTTACCCGGACAATCAAAAAGGATGTAGTCATCCTCTACATGGCCAAGACAGTTCTCTAGCCAGTCAAAATTATTGGCAAAGTACTCCATGCAAAATACCAATCCTCCATTGGGGCCAAATTGCAGAGTATTGTCTTCCATCACGTCATCCACCTCAATCAGTTCCCGGATGTCTGAAAACAACAGACAGGCCCAGAACACAAAAGCATCATCCTCATTGGTGATAATTAACAATTATATAACAACTCACATGTATGAAATGATTTCTGTCCATGGCTATTCACTGTAGTAGTGTCCATGGAAACATTAAATACATTTTTGTATAGCCAACAGAATCCTATGCAGCCACAAAAGAAGTTATTTAAGTACTGATGTGATATAATCTCCCAGGTATACTGTTAAATGAAAAGTGCAAAACTTTGTGTTAGAATGCCATCATTTGTGTTAAAAAAAAAAAAGACAAAAATTTACTACATATACATATATATACATTTTATTTTACATGCATAGACTTTGGAAAGATACCCCAGAAATTAGCAACACTGGCTGCCTCAAGGGAGGGAAGCCACCTTCCAGGACTCAGAGCTAGGAGGAAGATATTTTCCTGAATACTTACTCCTTGTACCTTTTGCAGTTTGAACAATGTGAATATACACTATCTATTCTTAAACTTATGGACAGAGGTTCGTGACATTGTATAGGAGGCAGTGATCAAGACCACCCCCACCCCCCGCCAAAAATGCAAAAAGGCAAAATGGTTGTCTGAGGAGGCCTTACAAACAGTTGAGAAAAGAAGAGAAGCAAAAGGCAATGAAGAAAAGGAAAGATATACCCATCTGAATGCGAAGTTGCAAAGAATAGCAAGGAGATCAACACAAAGAAATAGAGGAAAACAATAGAATAGGAAAGACTAGAGATCTCTTCAAGAAAATTAGAGACACCAAGGAAACATTTCATGCAAAGATGGGCACAATAAAGGACAGAAATGGTACGGACCTAACAGAAGCAGAAGATATTAAGAAAAGATGGCAAGAATAAACAGAAGAACTATACAAAAAAGATCTTAATGACCCAGATAACCACAATGATGTGATCACTCATCTAGAGCCAGATATCCTGGAGTGCGAAGTCAAGTGGGCCTTAGGAAGCATCACTACAAACAAAGCTAGTAGAGGTAATGGAATTCCAGCTAAAAGAAGTCCTAAAAGATTATGCTGTGAAAGTGCTGCACTCAATATGCCAGCAAATTTGGAAAACTCAGCAGTGGCCACAGGACTGGAAAAGGTCAGTTTTCATTCCAATACCAAAGATAGGCAATGCCCAAGAATGCTCAAACTACCACACAATTGCACTCATCTCACATGCTAGTAAAGTAATGCTCAAAATTCTCCAAGCCAGGCTTCAACAGTACATGAACCGTGAACATCCAGATGTTCAAGCTGGTTTTAGAAAAGGCAGAGGAACCAGAGATCAAATTGCCAACATCCACTGGATCATTGAAAAAGTAAGAGAGTTCCAGAAAAACATCTACTTTTGCTTTATTGACTATGCCAAAACCTTTGTGTGAATCACAACAAACTGTGGAAAATTCTTAAAGAGATGGGAACACCAGACCACCTTACTTGCCTCCTGACAAATCTGTATGCAGGTCAAGACGCAACACTTAGAACCGTATATGGAACAAGGGACTGGTTCCAAATTGGGAAAGAAGTACATCAAGGCTGTATATTGTCACCCTGCTTATTAATGTATATGCAAGGTACATCATGCAAAATGTCAGGCTGGATGAAGCAAAAGCTGGAATCAAGAGTGCCAGGAGAAATATCAGTAACCTCAGATATGCAGATGACACCACCCTTATGGCAGAAAGTGAAGAGGAATTGAAGAGCCTCTTGATGAAAGTGAAAGAGGAGAGTGAAAAAGTTGGCTTAAAATTCAACATTCAGAAAACTAAGATCATGGCATCTGGTCCCATCATTTGGCAAATAGATGGGGAAACAATAGAAACAGTGACAGACTTTATTTTCTTGGGCTCCAAAATCACTGAAGATGGTGACTGCAGCCATGAAATTAAAAAACACTTGCTCTTTGGAAGAAAAGCTATGACCAACCTAGACAGCATATTAAACAGCAGAGACATTACTTTGCTAACAAAGGTCCGTCTAGTCAAGGCTATGGTTTTTCTGTCTAGTCAAGGTTATGGTTTTTCCAGTAGTCATGTATGGATGTGAAAGCTGAACCATAAAGTAAGCTGAGCACCGAACAATTGATGCTTTTGAACTCTGGTGTTGGAGAAGACTCTTGAGAGAGTCCCTTGGGCTGCAAGGAGATCAAACCAGTCATTCCTAAAGGAAATCAGTCCCGAATATTCACTGGAAGGACTGATGGTGAAGCAGAAACTCCAACTGTTTGGCCACCTCAGGGGAAGAACTGACTCACTGGAAAAGATCCTGATGCTGGGAAAGTGTGAAGGCAGGAGGAGAAGGGGATGACAGGATGAGATGGTTGGATGGCATCACCAACTCAACAGACATGAGTTTGAACAAGCTCTGGGAGCTGGTGATGGACAGGGATGCCTGGCGTGCTGCAGTCCATGAGGCTGCAAAGACTTGGACACGACTGAGCGACAGAACTGAATTGAACTGATAAACAAGTAAAACAAAATCAAACCAAGAAAACCAATTCCATTTCTTAATTTGATGGCCTGGGGTTTCCCTGGTGAAGCAATAGTTAAGAATCCACCTGTCAATGTAGTGGACACGAGTTTGATTCCCTGCTCCAGGAAGATCCCACACAGAGCAACTACTAAGTCCAGACAGCCAAAGCCTGTGCTCCACAACGAAGAAACCACCACAATGAGAAGCCCAAGCACCACAATCAAGAGTAGCCCCAACTCGCCGCAACTAGAGAAACCTCTCACAAAGCAACAGAGACCCAACGCAACCAAAATAAACATCGTTAAATATATATATATATAAGATGATCCTACACTGACTTGTCTTCCTCCCCAGTAAACAGGATCATGCACTCAACAGCTCAAGTCAGAAACCTAACAATGACTCTTGAACCCTCCCTTTCCTCCAACCTTTTTAGTTCAACCTCCCACAAAATACTGCTAATTCTATTTGCAAAATATATACCTGTCTGCACCTTTGTATCTCCAAAATGACCACCCCAGTCCCCCTTCTACTCTTGACTCTCTAGAGTCCATTTTTCATCTGAGAGCCAGAGATATTTTTAAAAACATAAATCAGATGTCAGTCCTCTCCCCTGCAGGAAACCCTCTAATGGCATTTCACAGTTGAAAGGTGCTATGAGTTGAGGGGGTTTTTTTGGTTTGCTTTTTTTTTTTGCTCTGCTGCGTGCAGCCTGCAGGGGGTCTAATCCATGCACCTTGCAGTGGCAATATGGAGTCCTACCCACTGGACTGTCAGGGAATTCCCTTATGAGTATTTGTGTCCCTCTAAAACTCATGCTGAAAACCTAATGCCCAGGGTGATGATATTAATTGGTGGGACTTCGGGAAGGTGAATGGGATCAATGCTCTCATAAAAGAGGTCCCAAGAGAGCCCTTGCCCACTTCCATCATATGAAGACACAGTGAGAAGTCGTCAGTCTACAAGTAGGAAGAAGGCCTTCACCAGAACCTGACCATGCTGGCAGCACCCTAATCTCGGGCTTCCAGCCTCCAGAACTGTGAGAAACCCATTTCTGTTGTTTAGAAGCCACCCAGTCTGTAGTATTTTGTTACAGCAGCCCAAACAGACTAACAGGGTGAAAAAACAGGATAAAAATCATACTCCTTCTGTCTTACTAGCTGCTACCCATCTCTTTCTTTCACTTCTTATGCCCCAGCTCATCAACACCTTTGCTTTTTCTGGAACACACCAAACCCTTTCCCATCTCTTGGCTATATATTGACCTTGATGCTCCTTCATCTTGGAAAGTCTTTCGCCAGCTTGGTGAGCATGTTACCATCTTCGTCTAGGCCCTAATAGCCCCTCCTCAGAGGTGTCGTCCCTGACTATGCTACCTAAAGCACTCTTCCCTAGTTATTTCTTTACTTATAGCAGCACTTACCACAATCTGCAACCGATTTTATCATTTTGCTTATTTCCCTTGCTAAAAGGCCCACAAAGGCAGGGATAGTATCTGTGTTGTTCTCTGCTATGACCCTGGTGTCCAGCATAAAGCAAGTGCTCAGTAGACATCTGAATAAATTAAAAGATTAAAAACAAAACAACATACTTAAAGGTTGCTCACTTATAGTATAGTATGATCAGCAGTAAAACAGATTTACCAAACAGGAGCAAACATGAAAGAAACAGAAGGGAAGGGTGGTGAGGGAGGAGTCTACTCACTTCTCATTCCTACATCAGAGACTAAGAAAAGATACTGTCACACACATCAACATGAGCTGATGTCACCACATGACATTCAGCCTCATGCTGTTCACCATGAAACCAGGGAACCACACTGTATTAACTTTCAGCTTTTGTGTGCAGCAGCCAGCACTCACTGCCTCCCCACTCTCCTATTTTTCCTGAAGGAGGGGGAAGGCTCTGCTCAGGACTTACCAGCCATCACGGAGTAGTTGAAATGTTCTGCTGCAGGATCCAGGTTCACAACTTGGACAGACCGATTGAGGGCTTCGCAGTGCTGCACCATGGTGGCACAGTAAGTGCTCTGTAATGTCACAAGGCACAAGGGGTTAGAGCAACACTCGGTATACTGCTTACCCCTACACCTCCAGAAGGACTCTCCACCCACCCTGGGCAGTGTCTACTAAGGCCAAAACTATTCCTTCATTGACCAAGAAGCTAAAAGGCGTTAGGCTGGGAGTCAGGACACCTGACTGGGCTGTGGATCCAGACCTGGCTCGGACTCATGGGGAAGTCGCTTTTGCATTCTCTCCCTAAATTTTCTTGTCTTTAAATGTGATGGCTTCCATGATCACTAAGGCTCCTTACTGCTCTAATCTGCAACAAGTGGAATTTAAAGGGAAGATTTCTAATTACACTGTGCAGCATCTAACACATGATGTCTCCACTAGGATTGGTACAGTCCAAACAAAGCTTTAGGTAGGCTGGTTAGGGATGATGTCTCTGAGAAGAGAGTATCTGAGCTGAGGGACAGCAGTGTGCTTTCCAGGCCAGTGGAATAACAACCCAAGATGAGAGAACATTAGGCCAATAAACAGCCTGGCAATACGCTATCAGTTTACACCTTCTGGTTTACAGAATTCTTCATCCCTCATATGCTACATTAAGGCTACTTGTCGTCTCTCCCACCCTCTATTAAAAGTCAGGGATGTGTCAGGAATTCCCTGGCAATCTAGTGGTTAGGACTCGGTGCTTTCACCACTGGGGCAGGGTTTGATCCCTGGTCTGGGAACTAAGATCCTGCAAGCTGCCTGACACGCCCAATAAATAAATAAAGGCAGGGATATGTCTTATTCAGTTTTATAAGCATAGGGGCCATAACATACTTCTCAGGTGGCTCCGTGGTAAAGAATCTGCCTGCCAATGCAGGAGATGTGGGTTCGATCAATGGGTCTGGAAGATCCCCTGGAGAAGGAAACGGCAACCCGCTGCAGTATTCTTGCCTGAAAAGTCCCAGGGAGAGAGGAGCCTGGGGGGCTACAATCCATGGAGTTTCAAAGAGCTGGACATGACTGAGCAACTGAGATGCACGCAGGAGATATAACAGTATCTGGTACATAATAAGCGCTTGATAATTATTTCTAATTGATTAATATGTTTGAATAAACTCCATCAGGGCAGAGGATTTTTGTGTGTGTATTTTAGTCACTACATAATCCCCCAGAGTATTTCTGATAGTAGGCATCAAAAGTTTATAGAAAGATACTTATTTAACACAGTGTGAAAGTTAATCTAGAATATAAAAATAACCTCTATCACGCTTTTATCTTTCTCCTCAGTGACTTGACACACACTGTTCTCTCTGCCTAGGAAGCCGTTTCTATATATCACATTGCATTTTAATTGACTAGTCACCTCTAAGTGTGATAGTAGTCTACTATTCACTCCAGTATTCTTGCCTGGAGAATCCATGGACAGAGAAGCCTGGTGAGCTATCATCCATGGGGTCGCAAAGAGTCGGACACGACTGAGCAACTAACACACACACCCACATCTCAAATAAGACTACTGGCTCCAGAAAAGCAAGGGTCATACCATAGTCACATGTGTATCTCCTGCAGCCAGAATAGGCCAAGAACCAGAGGAACCAGTTTGTCAACTTAAAACTGAAGTCACACAACACTTTCACAGACTCCAGTGTTTCCCACACTCCTGTTATTTGATCAATATCGTCACAATTTCTACCATATTTAAGAGCCTCTAATAGGATTTCCTTAATAGCTGCTTACAAGAAAAAATTATATCTCTAACCAGAAAAGCAGCTATGCTTATCATAACATGAAGATAACCATATAAGATAACACAACTTTAAAACTCTTTTAGTTCTAGGTAAATATAATTGCCTGTCAAAAGCTCTAAGATCTGCTCTCCAAAAAGTAGAATTAAAGAAGTGTTGAAGACACAAAGAAAGGTAATGCCAAAGAATGCTCAAACTACCGCACAATTGCACTCATCTCACATGCCAGTAATGTTCAAAATTCTCCAAGCCAGGCTTCAGCAATATGTGAACAGTGAACTTCCAGATGTTCAAGCTGGTTTTAGAAAAGGCAGCGGAACCAGAGATCAAATTGCCAACATCCGCTGGATCATCGAAAAAGCAAAAGAGTTCCAGAAAAACATCTATTTCTGCTTTATTGAGTATGCCAAAGCCTTTGACTGTGAGGATCACAATAAACTGTGGAAAATTCTTCAAGAGATGGGAATACCAGACCACCTGACCTGCCTCTTGAGAAGCCTGTATACAGGTCAGGAAGCAACAGTTAGAACTGGACATGGAACAACAGACTGGTTCCAAATAGGAAAAGGAGTACATCAAAGCTGTTTATTGTCACCCTGCTTATTTAACTTATATGCAGAGTACATCATGAGAAACGTTGGGCTGGAGGAAGCACAAGCTGGAATCAAGATTGCCGGCAGAAATATCAATAACCTCAGATATGCATACCAGACCACCTGACCTGCCTCTTGAGAAGCCTGTATACAGGTCAGGAAGCAACAGTTAGAACTGGACATGGAACAACAGACTGGTTCCAAATAGGAAAAGGAGTACATCAAAGCTGTTTATTGTCACCCTGCTTATTTAACTTATATGCAGAGTACATCATGAGAAACGTTGGGCTGGAGGAAGCACAAGCTGGAATCAAGATTGCCGGCAGAAATATCAATAACCTCAGATATGCAGATGACACCACCCTTATGGCAGAAAGTGAAGAAGAACTAAAGAGCCTCTTGATGAAAGTGAAACAGGAGAGCGAAAAAGTTGGCTTAAAATTCAGCATTCAGAAAACTAAGATCATGGCATCCAGTCCCATGAGTTCATGGCAAATAGGTGGGGAAACAGCGGAAACAGTGGCTGACTTTATTTTTCTGGGCCCCAAAATCACTGTGGATGGTGATTGCAGCCATGAAATTAAAAGACGCTTACTCCTTGGAAGGAAAGTTATGACCAACCTAGACAGCATATTAAAAAGCAGAGACATTACTTTGCCAACAAAGGTCCGTCTAGTCAAGGCTACGGTTTTTCCAGTAGTCATGTATGGAGGTGAGAGTTGGACTGTGAAGAAAGCTGAGCGCCGAAGAATTGATGCTTTTGAACTGTGGTGTTGGAGAAGACTCTTGAGAATCCCTTGGGCTGCAAGGAGATCCAACCAGTCCATCCTAAAGGAGATCAGTCCTGGGTGTTGATTGGAAGGACTGCTGTTGAAGCTGTAACTCCAATACTTCGGCCACCTGATGGGGAGAGCTGACTCATTTGAAAAGACCCTGATGCTGGGAAAGATTGAGGGCCAGAGGAGAAGGGAACGACAGAGGATGAGATGGTTGGATGGCATCACCGACACAATGGACATGGGTGTGGGTGAACTCCGGGAGTTGGTGATGGACAGGGAGGCCTGGCGTGCTGCGGTTAATGGGGTCGTAAAGAGTCGGACACGACTGAGCAACTGAACTGAACTGAACAGAACTGAAGACACACTAGCACCAAACTGATGATTTCATCTCAACGCAAACTGAAAGAAAACTGAAAAGGGAGCCACTTTCTCAATATATGATTCAATGTTCATTCATGTCAGGCCCATGTATTTCCTAAGTACACCGCAAGTCCACGTCTCAAGCTTTGATAAACAGTGATTAACGAGAACCCACCTTAAATTAGTCTACTGGGTTAAAGACACGGGCAGATTCTGGAGTTACACAAAACTGGATTCAAATTCCAGGCGTCACTTACTAGCTATGCGATCCTGAGCAAATACTTAAGTCTCATTTTCCTTACCGGCAAAGTAGGAGTAACAGGACTTAACTCACGGGGTTGTTGTGCAAATAAGTTTAAGCGCAGTATCTGGCGCTTAATTATGCAATAAAAACTAACAACTATCACTAATTTCCTTTCAAAAGAACAACAAAAAGGACAGTGAAGCTCAGGCTGAAGAACCAAGCTGCCCAGGTCTCAGCGTCCCCAATACAACCGCCAGCCCTTCCCTCAGGACCTGAACCTCCCTACCTCCCACAAACTCCGACATTTCCCTCCTTCGCCCGCGAAATCCTCACCTTCCCGCTGCCGGCGGGGCCCATAACCAGCTGAGCGTACCGAGGCATGGTAGCTCCCCCGGTTCCTGACGCCTCCAGTCGCACAGACTTAGAATCTGACCACCACGCTCCCTTCAGCCTTCGCGCGACGCCCACTAAGTTCCGGGAACACGACGTAGAAACCAATCGCAATCCAAATTCCTTGCCGTCTTCTGTTCTGCCACGCCTCCGACTACGGAGCGTCCCGAAGGCCAAATCCCAGGAGAAACGCGTTTTGCCAGAAGTCCCGGGATAAATTGCGCGTGCGCAGAAGTAGTTGGCGGAAATTAACCGTTGGGATTCTGGCAAGGTCTGGTTACCTTGGTGATAACGGACAACCGACAACGCTCCGCACCCCTCAACGCTCCGCACCCCTCAGCGAGGTGCTTTGGGCCTTGATTTGCGTACTGCTGTTTGACCTATATGGTGACCCTCAAGATTTGCAAATTTGCAGAGGGTCTGGATACTGAGGTGAAAGGCACCTTTCGTTTTAGAGGGAAAGTATACTTCCATTCTGCGAGGCATCCCTTCCACAAAAAGACGCGAGTGAACAAACGCGCAATCAACTAATGAACTCCCGCCCCTCCCCCAACTTAATTCCAGGATCTTGGATCTGCCCTCCCCGCTTTCCCGAAGGTATTCGGGCAGTGTCCGGACTTCATCGGAGAGGGCTAGAATCCGGCGTCTGCCTCTTCACCCCCAATATCTCCCGGCCTGACGCACGCGTGCTGACACGGGAGGGGAGAGGGGAAATCTCTCGCACAGAGCTGGCGGTCAGGGTACCCGGGAGGAGATGCCCAACCAGGGTCCAGTGTCCGACTGGACGGAGTGCAGTTCCTCCGCAGAGCCGCCCGCAGTGGCCAGGGCCCAGGGTGGCGGCGGCGGGTGAGGCTGCGGGGCCCTGAGGGATTTGGGAGGATGGCCGTCAGCCCTGGGTCGTGATCCCCGGGTAGAGGAGGGGGTGGGAGCTGGCTGCTCCTGTGGACTGGTCCCTAGTGTACTGAAGTGAGAGTAAGGGGGAGCCTTTGTTGTGGCCGACTCACAGTTTAGGGGACGGGCTTCTGAGGAAAGCTGAGGACAAGGGTTGGTGCAATGACTGACTAAACGCAGTGACTGCGACAGTCGTCTGGGTGCTTCTTGTGCCCCAGGGGGCGCTGCGAAATCTGCTTGAACGTTTGCCGTCTGGCCACTGTATTTCTACAAAAAGGGGTTGGCAGACTGGGGGTGGGGGGTTAGGGAGGCACCAAGGGACTAGAGGCTCAAAGGAGCGCTTCCAAATCAACAAATCATTTCCCTGTGTGACATTAGTCACCTTTATGTCAAATTGAGATTCAAAATCTGTAATGAGACAAGTTTTAGAGGCATCTTGATTTTGGCATTTTCTTCACTCAATAGTTCCTTTTTCATAAATCCATTCTGAGCAGGTTTTTACTTTATATTTCCTGGACGCTGAAGATAGTTGGTGAAATTACTGTTGGAGGCAGTACCTCATCCCTTGCATCAGTTATTCCCTAAAAGTGAGAACTGCTGGATGTTCCTCTCAAGCCCACAGTCATGGCTCCTTCTGCACCCATGGCCATCTTTAAAAATATATATGTGTGTTTGGTGCATTGATGACTTCTAAAGATGGAATGGTGCCATGTTCCTCTTTTCTGCTCCTCAGGGTGTTTAGCAAAATTCTGGATCCTAGTATATCAGAGCATCAATGAATGGTCACTGAAAAAAAAATGCAGGAAGAGGAAAAGGGGAGTGTTTTGTCTTAATTTGAGAACGGAAAAAATGAACTGTACAAACATTCTAGACCAACTTAGTTCCAGTACACCTTAAATTACATATAATAATTTTATTAAGAATAAAGGGGAAAAAAAGAATAAAGGAAGAAAATACCATGGATAGCACAGAAGCCCAATTTCTTCATTGAGCTCAGTGTAGGAATTAGATTCTGAGGCTGTAAAAGTAAGGCCAAATCTGGCTTAAAGTAAATCCTTTATATATAATATGGTAAAAATCTCTGATAACTCACTTTGAAAAAGCCTGGAGTTATTAAGATATAACCAGAATTATAGGAGAAGGTTTTGCAAGACATATCTGATGGAAATGGAAAGTAAAAAGCATATGTAATACTGTCCTTATTTTTCATTTAAAATACTTTATTTAATGCTTATACAACTGTCAATTGTTACATATTATATACATCCTTTTTTTCTTAAAACAGATCAGCTGGACATTCTTATTACCAGAATTCCAAAGGTACTGGTGAGTATATAAAGCAGATAATATGTATCAATAATATGGCTAACAGAAGTAAATTTTGCTATAACTACTAACACGGAGTTTTTAAAAGCCTTTATTAGCATCTTTGGTAAACTCAGTTTTTAAGATTTTCAAAGAACAATCCAGCAGGTTCTTTGTCTCCTGCTAAGATATCTCACATCAGGGACTTCCCTGGTGGTTCAGTGGCTAGGACTCTGTGCTCTCAGTTCAGGGGGCCCAAGTTTGATCTCTGGGCAAAGAACTAGATCACATATGCTGCAACTAAGACCTGGAGCAGCCAAATAAAATAATGCACATCAAAAGAGTACTTCAAAATTGCAGTGAATCTGAAAAGAACTGTTTATAACTGATGTTGGTTGAAAGGACAGAACATAACCTGGGGTTTATATTAATACTAATACAAAGATGGAAGGAAAAATTCTCAATTGTACAACTTCAAAGAACATAAAATATTCAGTGCTGTTGTTTTCCTCTCACTTGAAATTAAGGATATAGCTGCTGGAGGTAAGAAGTTAAGACAGGCCCCCAAAGACCTCTCACTAACTTTTTGTGGGCGAGCAATTTCAATTCAAATGATACATAAAACTTGAATTCACTTTGCTTTTTCTTGGAAAATTTATAGTCCTTACAGTTACCTAGGAAAAACACTCACACATATTTGTGTGTGTATGTATATATCCACATTATTTTATATACATGTGGGTGTTTTAAAATGGAATTGCTGAATCACATGGCAATTCTGTTTTATTTTTTGAGGAACTGCCATACTGTTTCCTCAGCAGCTGCACCGTTTTGTATTTCCAGCAGCAACACACAGAGGTCCAGTTTCTCCACATCCTAGCTAACACTTGTTTTCATTTTTTGGTGAGAAGGAAATGGCAACCCACTCTAGTATTCTCGACCGAGAATCCCATGGATGGTGGAGCCTGGCAGGCTACAGTCCATGGAGTCAAAAAGAGTCGGACATGACTGAGCGACTTCACTCTCACTTTCTCTCACTTTCATACTTATGGATATGAAGTGATATCCCATTGTGATTTTGATTGCATTTCCCTAATGATTAGTGATAGTGAACACCTTTTCATGTGTTCATTAACCACTTGTATATCTTCTTTGAAGACATCTAAATTCTATTCAAGTCCATAGCCCATTTTCAGCTGGGTTGTTTGTTGTGTTTAACTACTGTTTTTAAAGATTTCATTTTCTGTAAAGAAATGCTGCTAAGCTTCTGAGGAATTAAATTTTAGTCCCAGTTCTAATATGCACCTCAGAACTATTAACAAGGACACACAAAATATATTCTTAGATAATTACTCCACACTTATGACTTGAAAAGGCTTAAAAAATAAACTTTTAGTATGTTGAATTGGTGTTCATTTTATTATTACAGATTTCAAATTATGTTTTAAGGATCATAATAATTTGTTTGATTTTGTATTTGTTGGTAATCAGCTAGTCCTTTAGTATGCAAATGTAATTCTTAGTTATCTGCACTAACCATCCAATTTCCCAAAATCTTGAAGAAGTAACTAAATTTAAGGTTTAATATGTAAAATTACAGTGGCTTTGTTATCAATAATAATTGAAACAAAACTGTACTTATTTAGTTTACCTAGTACAGATTTTTAACTTGGAATTTGTTCTGCCAGCTTTGTTTGTAATAGCCCCAAACTGGAAACAACCCAGATTTGCATCAAGAAGTGGATGGATAATCAAATTGTGGTATATACATGCAATGGAATAAAACCCAAGAATTAAAAGGCACTATCTATTGTTACACATTACATAAATGGATCTCAAAACAATTATGTTGAGCAAAAGAAGTCAGACAAAACCAGAATATATACTGTATGTTTCCATTTATAGCAAACTCAAGAAACTAAGCTATAGTGATAGAAAACACATCAGTGGTTGCTTGGAGAGAGGAAGTGTATGGGGAGGATAGGAATATTAAAAAAAAAGAGTTATTTTCTGATTAAACTTTGCCAGGCACTGTTTTTCCCCAAACTGCTAGTAATCCTGAGTTATCTTAACATATGTGAGGCTAAAAACTACTTTCCATTCTTCTGGGAAAACATCTCAACTTTTATTTTTATTAAAAGCAATTACTTTAATCTACCCACATCCGTATTTAAAACAATGAAATAACTGAAATTATGTAAAAATAAGTTTTAATTAATTTCTGCAAAGCTCTTCATTTTAACACTGCCTTATTAAAGGGACAAAATGTGTGTTATTCTATGTTGTGTCTAATATAAAATTTGAAACTACATACCGAAGTCAAATGAATGATAAAATATTTTTGAAAATCTTTTAAAAGCACAAGTCCTGCATGTATATTCCTGTTTAGTGTGGTCTGACATACAATGAACTAAAGCAGTATACTATCAACAGTTTGCATCTCAGCTGAGTTCAAAATAATTTTGTCCAGATGTAATGATTATATATAGTAAATATTTATAAATATCTTCGATTTTTTCTGTGCTCTAAAACCAAATGGCAATCATAAAGTCTCTTCAAATTTGACTAAAATTAGTACTCCAGAATAATCATTTACACATGTAAACAGATAGATCTTAATAATTGTTAAACCAGTCTTTGCTTATGAGATTCACATTATAATGTCCTTGCCTACAGACAGAATCAAAGATGGACACAAAGTGAACTCATCTAGAGCCAAGCTGCAAGAGTTATGGAAAATGCCTCAAACAATTCACACCCCTAAGTCAATGACAGAGCCTTTCTCTCTAAAGGTATGCTAACTAAATACCAATATTTTATTTAAATGCTAATAGTCTTTGTATTCAGAGTTGAACTTTTTATTGAATCTAGTTAAGAGGGTAAAGCATGTAGAACACAAGTATACCCAGCACATTGTCTGGGAGTCCATAAATATCTGCTGGGTAAACTCATGAATCAGTGCAAGAATTTTATCATTATAGATTCCCTTTCATATGAATATTTTCATGCTTTATGATACTTTGGCTTTAATGTACATTTCTTCACTCTAGAAGCTTAGTGCCCCAAGCACAAAGATGCCTGAGGAAAGTTCCACTCTAGCGATAGAAACCCAACCCCGTAGATTTTGCTCAAGGACTCTAAAATTAAAAGCAAGCAAGAAAATGGCAACAAGCATTTCATGACTGTTGATCTGTATTACCCATTAAAGATCATAGCTGTCAGAATTAACCTCTCTAGAGCAATGTAAATTAGGGTTATTAAAGAGGTGTGCAAATTGGTAATTCTTGAGCCAGATTAATACAGCTGAATTTGCAGAAGTAAAATGTACAGATGGTACAACACTCCTGAACATTTCATCCTTTCAGATATGGAATATTGCCAACCTCTGTTCTACAATGCAGCCTACAAATCTTGTTTTGTCTTTTAGCATCCAGACCTCACCTTAGTCCAGAAGCGCTACCTGTGTAGCATTGCTAAGATCTATAATGCAAACTATCTGAGGACTTTAATGAAGAGGCACTACATGCATGTGATCCAGCGCAGCTCCCAAAAGCCAGGCAGGTGTACCTTCAGGTAGTTTTTCAATAGTTCTCACAAGAAATAAGAGAGCATTCTAACAGAGGTGATTTGTGTACAGGTGTCCTCACTCACCACAGGGGCCACCGCAGTTCTCGTTACTCACAGAAGCAGCATCACCCCTGTACTACATGGCGACACCAGCTGGAGAGAGAGGACTTGGGGCCTTCTAACATTGCAGCTGCATCTGCACCTGAGATGATACAACATTCGCTTTGGCGACCAGTGAGAAACAAAGAAGGGTCTGTTTCCTTTTGTTTCAGAGAAAAAATGTACCCCCAACTTTACTTGAAGGGTAGCTAAATGATGTTATATCTCATGCTCCCTGTAAGTTCAGAATAGATTGGACAAAGACACAGAAGAATGCTATCTTATGGCCTCTTTATTGAGCTGACTGGGATATGCTGCTTTTATTTTTTTATATGTAATTTTATTTATTTTTGGCTGCACTGGGTCTTTGTTGCTTTGCATGGACTTCTCTCCAGTTGCAGCGAGCAACTCTTCATTAAAGTGCACTGGCTTCTCATTGAGGTGGTTTCTCTTGTTGAGCACAGGCCCTTGGTGCACAGGCTTCAGCAGATGCAGCACGAAGGCTCCAGTAGTTGTGGCTCAAGGGCTGAAGAAGGTGGGCTCAGTAGTTGTGGCTTGTGGAATCTTCCTGGACCAGGGATCAGATCCACGTCCCCTGCATTGGCAGGCAGATTCTTATCCACTATGCCACAAGTCCTGCTACTGCTTTTAGAATTTTGTAGAATTGTAAAAATTTCAATCAGCTAGAGCCCTTTTAAACGATTCCCACTTAAATTCAAAATAATACAAACTCTTCCAAAAGGAGAAGTATACGGTGGCTTCTGCACAGGGGAATACTATAAACCAAAAAGAAAAAATGAGATTAAGATGCCTGATTATTCAACCTGTGCTACAACTGATAGTTTTGCATCTCAGGATGCTTCAGGATGCAAAGTCATGTGAGAATTCAGGGGCTAAAAGGGTCTCTTTGGTGATGCTGGCAGCTTAATAAAAATTTGTATGGTCTTCCACATATATTAGACAACTGTGCACTTTGCTAGTTCCAATTAAGATGCTTCTCTTTCTTACAGTTTAAAAACTGGATATGCATCTAAAACAAGATGTAAGTCATCGAAGATTTTTAGAAAACCAGGCAGACTGTTCATGCAATCAGGTAAATGTGGAATTTTTAATATATGTTTTTAAAGATGTTATGCTTTAAAAATATTAAACCCAATATAGCTCCATTTCTATTAGAGAAGACATTAAAAATTTTGAAGTGTGATTTGCTTACATTGCTCCAAACAAAACTAAACATGAAGTCGATTTCTGTTTCCACATAAAAGAACCGTGGTCAGGGAAGTTAAGATTCAATGTATTTCTAAGATATTATAGTCAAGGCCAGAGACTTAACAGAGAATGAAATTTGTCAGAACTCAGAGCCATAAACATGACCTTTTCATGCCATAGCACTTATTTTATGATAGTGTAATTTTTTGACTGACAGCATTGAAAACATTTTTTTGACTACTTGTGCAGCATGAGAGATCTTATTTCCCTGACCAGGGATTGAACCCGTGCCCCCTGCAGTGGAAGCAGAGTCTTAACCACTGAACCACCAGGGAAATACCCTAATAGCAAATTTTGTATGAATCAAATAGTTAACAAAGGGCTGTATCACCTATACCATTTTGTTTAATATTCAACAAACCAGAGGAAGCAAACCAACCAATTAGTATTAGCAAAATTTTGCAGAGCTACTCAGATAAATCCACATTTAGGAAGGATTGGCTTAAAGGATCCTTCTACCCCAAGTGTGACAAAATGAAAAAGGCAAGAGGAAGGAACACTGAATGCTCAGAGATATTTCTCAGAATTGATAAAGTGGGAAGGATTAAGTGGAAGTTAAACAATTACCTAGTTACTACCACAGTAGCAGGGAAGTGGGTAGGAAGTAGGGAAGTTAGGCCTTCTGAACCCCTATCCCACGGCTGTGTGACAGCACCGCTCGGCTCTGCTGTAAATACCATACTATGCCTACCCAAGAAATGAGGGAAATGGCAGGGTAGAACATAAGTATCGTTCCAAAAAGAACACCTGAAGGAAACCACAGACAGAGGAAAAGTCCCTGTGGTCCCCAAGAGAAAAGAAACAAGAAGAAACTTAAGGAATGGAGAATACTACAGCTATAACTTCCCCAAGTCAAAAGATTTTTGCAAAGCAATGGAAAAACACGACTTAGTAGCAAAGAATTTGCTATAATATAACCTGATTATAGAATAGAATACAGTATTAGGCAACTTACTTTTAAAAAGTGAGATATTTAAGGGGAGGGGGAAGTCATGAAATTTTTGAAAATTATAGGAAGTTTATGGCAAACGCTTATTAATAAGGTAGGTCATTTTGAAGCTTGCTCTTAAATACAAATCTCAATTTTCAGGATGAAATACTTTATTTCCAAAACAGACATTATAGACTCTTATTTTCCCTTTAGTTTCTACAAATGATTCTGAATCATACATGAGTGAAGAAAAAAAGGAAGAAGATTTACTAAATAAGTGTATGCAATCAATGTCAATTGAAGAACAGGGAGAACATCTGATGTTAACTTGACAACTTGAGTGATGTGCCAAAGGTGGGGGAAGGGATTGTGAATTGTGTCCTCTCTCTACATTTAGAGCAGTATTGTTATTCAAGTAATTTTAGTTTGTTCAGAAACTTTTACGACAATATAAAAAGTCTGATGTAGTTTCATGTACTACTGATATTTATGTAATAAAATTTATGTGTAATACATGCTTGTATTCCTAGATACAATTAAAATTTATTGTCACCTAAAATCTGAATTATTTTTCTTTAAAGCTGACAAATGCATTGTATAATTCTTTCTGTTTACAGATCCTAAAATAGCAACATTAGAAAAACCTGGAAGTATTTTCCTCAGGCTGAGAAAAACTCTGAATATCCTGATATAGAACAGCCTTTGATAGAGATAATACCCTGCCTTGTAGAGAAGGTGCTCAATAAGTATTATCTTCTTGAACTTAAAAACAGAAATATCAATTTGCCCTATCTTATGAAAACTGCCAAACACTTGGACTCTCAAACTAAAGATTTAAGTTTTAATACAACAGTACTAAAAAACAATAATACAGCAGTACTATTAGTACAATAGTTATACTAACAAAAGAACTAGTCACATTTTCACTCTACTGTCCTTGCCTTCTAAACATCAGTGTTTAAAAAAATTTTTTTTTAATTTTTTGAGGTATAGTTGATATACAATATTATGTAAGTTTCAGGTATACAACATACTGATTCACAATTTTTAGAGGTTATACTCCATTTATAGTTATAAAATATTAGCTATATTCCCTATGTTATAAATATATCCTTGTAGCTTATTTGTTTATATTTTAAGTTTGTACCTCTTGATCCCTTTATTCCTATCTTGCCTCACCCCCTGGTAACCACTAGTTTGTTCTCTATATCCATGTTTTCTTTTTGTTATATTCACTAGTTTATTTTTCAGATTCCACAAGCAAGTGATATCTATAGTAATCTGTCTTTCCCTGACTTTATCTAGCATAATACCCTCCAAGTCTATCCATGTTGCTGCAAATGGCAAAATTTCACTCTTTTTAATGGCGAGTAATATTCACCACATCTTCTTTATCCATTCATCTGTTGATGAATCCTTAGGTTCTTTCCATATCTTGGCAATTGTAAATAATACTGCTATTAACACTGGGGTGCATGTATCTTCCTGAATTAAACATTAATGTTTGCAAAATTTTGTTAAAACTTAAAAGAACAGGGCATTTAAAAGCAACCCAGTCTGAAAAAAATCTCTGGATTTACTGTATCAATACTCTTTAGAAAATAAAACCTGAGTCCAACATTATGATCTAGAACAGTTGTTAAGGAATGAGCTCTGAAAAGTCATCTTATATCTCATCTACCTTATCACTGGAACACTTGTCTGCAGTTTCATTTGGCCTCTTATTTTCATGATTTTTAAAAATTAAAACACAGTTTAATCAAGAAAGTATAAATGAAAGTTAACTGTTTATTACTGGAGAAGAGAAAAATGTATACAAGAAAGTCTAGATTCTTCCTCTTCATGCACTACTGGTAATAAAGTTCCAAATATCAACTATGAAGATATTTACAAGGATAAATTTTTCTTAACGTGTGACCATTTACTGTGTGGTGAACATTTTTTCATAGAAATCATATAGTTAAACTAAATATAATCTTATAGTTTACAAGAAGCTCCAATATTGTATTAACAGAAGACAATATATTTTACTGCAAAATATTATAAAAGTGATACAATTTTGTGGCTCTTAAATGTTTAATTACTTGAGTTGAACAGGGGAATGGAAAAAAAAAAAAAAAGCCCAGCAGAAAAATCAACAGGACAGGCCTGGCTTTAAGATTTTTTGTATTCGATTCGTTCTACTTTCACATCATCTCCAATTAGCTGATACACGTAAGTGACAACTGTAGAAGCCTGGATATCCATCAACACAAATGAAGGAATAATGTTTCTGGAAGAAAATATAAATAATGTCATTGTTTTGTATTAAAAAGCCATAGCATTATTAATTTCAACTTAGGATGACAATTGGGTTTCAAGGAGAAATCTGGTTGTTAGACATACTAAAGATAATCACCAATAGAATACTGCCAAAAAGGCTGTAATTATTTAAATAATCACATCTTTTACAAAATGTCACATGTGCAATTATTAACTTTATAAAACCCCCAAATTGCATACTACTCACGTTTCCAAGGCATTATATGCTCCAGTGGCAGAACCTGGATTAATGTAGAATTTATTCTCATGCTCAAATGCTTCAAATTTATGTGTATGTCCTGAAATAAGAATGTCCACATCAAACTGCCTTTGCAATAGGGCTAGGCTGGCCATATCTCCCCATGGGATAACTTGATGTCCATGGATCAGACCAATTTTGAACTGCCCAACAGTCACAACTTTCTGCTCTGGATAATTCAGATTCTAAAATACGAAATAGACATAAAAAAATAGCTCAGAGATACTGATGTTTATAAATAACTTTCTTTTAAATATTCAGTCTCAAAAAAATAAATAAATATTCAGTTTCATATGGGTGTTTTGAAACAGTGTTCCACAACCAACAAATCTGTTAAATATCTGATTTCTTCTCAATCTCTAAGGGTATAACAGCTCAAAACATAACTTCCTTCAGGAGAACTGGAATTTATTATGCAATCTCCTTATTAAGTTTATTTTCATAGACTGTGAGTTCTTTACAGAGTAATTCCCCCAAATTTGTGTTTCCTCTAAGAATCCAAGGACTATGACCTGAAAGCTAGGATGTGTTGAAATTACATCCCAGGCTTTAATAGTTACATAGATGGCTTAGAATAATAATGATAGTTAACACTTATGTAGCACTTAGTATGAACTAGGCACTCTTCTAAGAGGTCATAAATGTCAACCTATGTAATACTTACAAACAACCCTAAGAGGTAGGTTTCATTTTGACCCCCATTTTTGGATGAAGAAAATAAGGCACAAAGAGGTTAAAATAGCTTGCCTAAGGTCACAGTTTATTAACTGTTTAAGCCAAGATCTAAACCCTGGAAGTATGGCTCCAGGGTTGGTGAATTTATTAGCAAATTAGAAGCAAAAAAATTTTGATTCTTGCTACTGAACCTAGCATATCACAAACAGAACTCCTAATATATTTTTAATAATCCAAACCTATACTCTGTTGACAAGATGTCTGCCCTTTCCCATTTCATCACCCCCAACCCCCATCCCACCTTCATGCCAACAACTCTAGTTTATTCAAACTTAACTGCAAAAAAAAAGGAGCACCAGTGAAGTTAAATAATTTATGAAAAATCTTCTATTTCCAGAAATACAAAATAAAAATTTCACACTAGAGTCAGGTTTACTAAGCTTGATCATACGGTGTTAACACTGGCAGGGGTCTTAAAAATCATCTATTCCAATCTTATTTACATAGTAGGGAACTAAGAAGATACAGCTTGCCTAAAATCTCAGTATTAATTAATAGGCAAAGTCTGAACTTTAGGACTCCTTATTTTTTCTCTAAGGCAAGATTTATTGAGATATAACTTCCATACAGGAAAATTACTCTTTTTGATATACAATTCAAGAAGTTTTGACAAATACATATAGTCGTGCTGCCACAATCAAGATACAAAAGTCTACCCCCTCCTCAAAACTTCATGCCTGTTTATAGTTAACCCTTGAGATACGGAGCCATGGCAGGATTTTTAGCAGAGAAGTGATGTGATCTTACTTCACCTATAAAAGGTCACTCAGGCTACTACTTGGAGAACTATGGAGGAAGCAAGGGTAGAATCAGGAAGCTGGACATAGTAAAGTGATATGGTGGCTTAGAATGGGATAGCAGAGGTGGTGGCAGTTAAACTAACAAAAACTTTGCATTCTAAGTGATAACACTACAAAAAATAGTAACAAAACCGTATCAATCCAGTTAGAAGAAGTATGGAACATTTAATAAGCAGTCTAAAATCAGGGATTTTCAAACTGTACATATAGTAATTTTTCACTGGAACACTAGGAAAAAAAAAAAAGACCTTAACAGTTGAGAAACTCTGGTCTAAAAAATAAAGCTTATACAAATATAAGAAAAGGAAGTATTTCATGAATATATAGTCAACGCAACAGGAAAAAAAAAGAAAAAGGAAGAATTTGGGAAGGCAAAGGGAAGTACACCACCTCATCGAAGTCTCCTCTCACAATATGGACATCGCCAGCCAGAGTCTTGAGATAGTCATAACTCTCTTTGGTGCAAAGGTTTCCAGTGCAGAGAATGTGCTGAATCTTCCCTGGCACCAGCAGTTTTTTGAACTTAGCTGGCAAACTGTTGCACCGATGTGGGATGTGCAGGTCTCCTAATACCAACACCAACTTTAAAGTGTCAAGGTGAGAAAAGGTATAATGTTAAACATGATTTCAAAATAAGATACTCTCCCATAACTCTTTTAAATTAATCAGAGACTCCAGAACCCCAAAGAGCAGAACTTACTCACACAGTTCCTATCATGAACATTTTAACAATACATGTGATTCTAAATCAATCTTAGTTTATTTTGGTCATAAATAGGTGTGCACACAATACAAGTAACCATTCTACTTATTGAGAATAAAACCAAGCTTTCTAAAGTAATTCATTTAGAGACCTATAAAATTAAACTCCATAAAAAAACTGAAAAATATTCTGAGTCCTATGGAATTTGATATGGTAATTCATATTTCTGCAGTTTTAAATGTAAAACATATTGATTCCAGGGATATTAATAAAAAGAATGGTTAAAATTATAGATAGAGAAAAAAGTTAATTCTATAATTTACTATGTTGACAACTATTTGGAGGAAGAGTAGCCAAAATTTACAATATTTGTTACTTAAAATATTAACTATACATTACAGAAAAATAAAAACTGCCTATACCTCAAAGAGTTTCAGTAGTACAAACGTGCTTTTGAATTATAATCTTTGTTATCCTCTCTTTCTTTCATCATTAGAAGTCCTGTCATATTTTTGTCTGGCTTAAATATCCTCAGTTTAGTTCCCAAACTTAAAATAACAAATCACAATTTTCATGTACATTAGAGCATTAAAAAAAGAAAGGAAGATCAACCAAATAAGTGATAAATTCAGCAGGAGGTGGTTCAGAGTTGGAACATAATCTCAGATGATAAAAACAAATTCTACACATAAATACAAAAGAATTAAAAAACCTCAATTCTGTGAATTTTTAATTTTAAAATTTCAAGATTTGACATGTATACATCATTTAACAGAATATTGTCAAAAAGGTCATATAAAAATAGTTATATGCCCTCCAAAGGACAACAGAATCAATTTCTCCATGTGGATTAGTATAAGCACCTTCAGATGAGATCAGGGTGGTATGGCCATAGACAGTGTGCTGCTGCTGCTGCTGCTGCTAAGTCGCTTCAGTCGTGTCCGACCCTGTGCGACCCCATAGACGGCAGCCCACTAGGCTCCTCTGTGCCTGGGATTCTCCAGGCAGGAATACTGGAGTGGGTTGTCATTTCCTTCTCCAATGCATGAAAGTAAAAAGTGAAAGTGAAGTCGCTCAGTCGTGCCCTACTCTTAGCGACCCCATGGACTGCAGCCTACCAGGCTCCTCCATCCATGAGATTTTCCAGGCAAGAGTACTGGAGTGGGGTGCCACTGCCTTCTCTGATAGACAGTATAGGCACCTTCTTTCTACAACAGGATGTCTTCCCACAGATGTCCCATCCATAAGACCTTTAACTGGTTTCAAAGAAGGTATGACTATTCCTTAATATTACCAAAGAAAATATTAACTGTCTTAAACAAGATAAACAGAAAAGTTTGGCCACCACAGACTTTGTAAATTAAAATTAATGAAAAGGTGTAAAATTAAAATTATCACAACAATAAGCTTGATTCATCTTGCAACAAGTATCAAAATGATCACAAACAAAAGGAAATGTCAACAGAACATACAGTAACCAAAGTAACACAAGGTAACAAAACCCGTGCACTTTAAAAGAAATTATTAAATAAGCTTCTTTACAAAGAGTAGTTTCAGCTGGTATTTGCTCTATGACTTATATTGTTTCAATCCAAATCTCAGTGGACAAAACATCTATAAAACTAAAAACCACCACATAGTTTCCACCCTCAGTGGTAATTAATACAAAAGTACCTGCAGATAGAACAATCTTCATCTTTAGAGGGGGATCCCTTCAGATATGGATTGAAGTGCATAGTTAATGTGGGAAGCTGGCATTTAAGAAAAAGGTAAAAAAAACATATTTCTATATTAAAAAAAAAAAGGAACCTCAAACTCATAAATTAAGGGTATATGACTGTAACAGGTTGAAAATGTTTGGGACTAATCATGAATGAGCTGTTCAATCTGAGTGTGGCTGAACAAACATTCATAAAACATGATACTTTATAATGATCAATAACCTGAATTCTATAAAGTACTATGGATTATGCCCAAGTGTACCTACACTATTAGCAGTTTAAAGATATAACAATGAAAGGCCACAAAGAAATTATTCCAAATTAATAAGGATCCTTACTAGGACTCTGGTTTCTTGCAGCTAATGAAGTTATATGGGGAACAGTGTCACATAACAAATGTCATACTTTGAGCAGCATCTTTGCCCAAATTCCACACTTTGACAGTGCAGGTTAGACATAGATTACATAGAGTCTTTTAAGATGGCAAAAGATTCTGGAAATGGCAGTCTTGTTAAATTCAAATAACCAATCTAATCAAAGCACAGAAAATTTGGTTACTTGCTATTTGATAGACTGTAAAAGGGTGAAATCCCAGTAATCAGCCACCCCACCACCACTGTTAGTAGGAGCTAAGAGAAGAAACTTACTCTGTGCCCAGCCTTAGTGGAATGAAGAAGTTGATTGCAGACAGGGGAATGAAAAAAAAAAAAAGGGTGAATCATGACCAATGTTAAAAGAAAGCAACGAAAAGAAACAAACCAAAAAAAGAACAAAAAACTCATCAAATGAATAAGCAAACAATTGTTAATGATTTCTGAGTGTTATGAAAGAAAATGTTAAAAATCAGCTTTGCTCAAAACAATACCAAAAGAACCATTTGCTGTACTATTAAATATCTCACACACACACACACATTTACAATCTTTTCTAATTTTCTTAATCTCACTCTCCACTTTAACGCCTATCCCTTTTGTTTGTTGTTCTGTTTAGAATTTTACAAAACAATTTGGAAAATTCATCACCGATAGCTTAAATGGAAGCTAACATTTTCTGGATTCTTTAGGCTTAATTATTCTTTAAATAAATTGATTTTAATTCTCTTATGTTTAAAATTCTAGTAGTTGGAAAATTATGCTGCAGCTAGGTCATTATTTTGTACAGAAGATCTAACACAGCACTATGAATACATCATCAAGTCACCAGATACTGGATGATAGAAGCAGACAACCTCCTCCAGCTAAAACTGGACTTTTCCCCACACCTAAATTTGTCGCCCACAGACTCTGGATACTGCTGAATATTAAACATTTTTAGTCTCTTTACCAAATAAAATGCTTTTAATTGTAAAAGAATCCATCAGTGCTAAACCTTGCCCAGTTCTATTTCACATGAAAAGTGATACTTCAATACAACTACCCTGAAAAACTACCTCTCAAAAAAACCTCAGGAACATGAATACTTAAATGTCAGGTAATTTCATCTTCTCCCCGCGATAAGATGTCTCAAAATTACTGTTAACTGGACTACTCTAATCTGGAGTCTGTTTAGAAGCAAAAATCATTAAGTGAGATTAGAGTCTCTAGCATATACAAAGAACTAAAGGACCACAGACCACGAATGTCACGGTTATAAGGCACCTTAAAGGTTGTTTGTTATAGAATCACGATTATCTTAAAAATGCACTGGATGTTCATCACAGAGAGAAGTCCCTTTTCATCAACAAACACCAAGATCATCAGAGCCCCTTTTCAAACCGTTCTTAAATTTTCAGAGAATCAAGGGCACTTTGAAAATCTGATTACAGCTATTAGGCATCTCCAGCAGCAGCTCCCAAGTTTTCACGTAGGAAGGTCTTAGGGGTACCGACTTATTGGGGGTGAGGGGGTGATGGGCCGGTCCGGGGCAATCCGATGTACAATGAGGTAAAGCTTCCCAAACTCCTCTTGGCCGCCAATGATGGCCCTTTAACTAGAAGAACATACGTACTCACAAAATCAGCTCGAAAACCATTAAGGAATTCTACTGTAAAGGGTCGCAGTATCCTGAAGAAGCAAGTAGTACTAGCAATTCTAACCCTCCCCCCACCAAAAAAAAGCCAAATCCAGTCCTTTGAGGGTACACCGCCACATTTCAATGGCATCTGCATGTTATTTCAGGGAAGAAAGGAAACTTCTTATCCCATTTCCCCAAATAGCAAATTAAAATGGGTAGGGAATTCTACTCGCTTCTTCCCGTTTTGCATCCGAGAAGCCAGTTTTCGCCACATGGGGGTGGTAACCAGTGGGTTACCAACCAGCGGGTTACCAACCAGCGGGAGGTGCGGGAAAGGAACTAGGAAACGTCTGGAAACGGAGGAGATCCCGTGGCTCCTTTCTCGGGGACTCCCAAGACACAGGCCCAAAGCCTTTCCCGGCTCGGGCGTGCGGGTCTCGTGACACAAGAAGCAGCTGAGAGTGGCCCTTTCCGCCTTCGGACGTCCTCTGGCCCCTGGGGCTGGGATGCAAGGCCCGGGCTGGCCGCACCCAGAGGTGGCCGCTCTCTTTCCTCCTTTGCGTTTCCCCAGGCACCAGCCCAGGCCGCGGGCGCGCCCGTCACGGCCTCCAGGATCACCCAAGCCCTCGCCCAGTGACTCCCAGCGGCTCCCAACGACGCAGAACCTCAGCCGAGAGGCAGGCCTCGGTGGTCGCAACTGCGGTACTCACCATCCTGTCACTGGGCTCCGCTCAGTCACCACAATCGCCGCCGCCTTCTCTTCCTCACACTTCTCGGCGACCCGCCCACCTCGCTCAAAACCAATGAAAAGAGAGGTCAGCAAGAGACCGTTCTACGGAGGCCCGCGCGGGGCCTTATCCGCCGTAAAGCGAAGTTGTTCTTTGGCAAATGGGGTGGGGGCAAAATCGCGAAGTTTCGAAGCGCGGGCAACATCCGGGCAACATCTGGGGCCCTCGGTCTGAGGCGTCCTGTGTGACTTGACTTTTTAGGAATTGCAGCCATGCTGAAATGTGTGATGAGCGGCAGTCAGGTGAAAGGTGCAGAGGCCCATTTTGCCTTCCTGTGTAAAAAAGGGAAAGCTTAGGGTTTGTGGGCGTGGGGGCGTTTCCAACGGCGTCTCATTTCTTGACCTTTGTCTTTATGCCTAAGGGACATAAGACGTGGCCATAGCCAGCATCCACTCACCCAGGGTCTTCTTAACTTCTGAGGAGAAAATGAAGGCTCATCGGCTTTTATTTATGCGTATTATTTATATTCGTAGATGTCCATGAAATGAAGTTGAACCACCGGGACAGGTAGTGGAAGGGTAGGCTTCAAACTCGGGGTGATAAGGAATGTGTGGGAAATTGGGAAAAATAACGCTTGGACAGTTAAGAGTATTTTAGCGCGATAAGAAAAGCATAAACCTCGTTTTTATTCCAAATTCTAACATTTTTAAATGTATGACTTGGGACAAGCCATTGAATCCCTTCAGGGCTCAGTTTCCTCATCTGTGAATCGAGAATAACAACACCATCTTCATTGTAGTATTTGTTGTAGTTTCAATTAGCAATAATCGCGCCTCGGGTAAACCTCATTGGCTACGATACTGCCACTGCGCAAAGCTTAGTATTTGTTTTAGGAATGAAATGTGGGTAAAGAGCTCAGTAACAAACGGTAATGTACAAGAACTAATCCTTATTATAAATGGTACTTTAAAGTCTCTGTTTAGAAAAGTAATGGTTTTCTACAGATCATAATCTGAAAATGATCATTGAAAGGCATTTGTGTCGCAGCTGGCTCCCGCTATGTTGAGGGCATCTATGGAAAAATATTAATGAGCAGGAAAGGAAAGAAAAAGATCCCCATGGTTGCATGTTTTCAGAGTTCTAGAAAGTTCTCTTTTGCAGTGTGTACCTTGTTCTCAGTAAGTGATAATTTGTATGATTATTTAATTTTGTTTTTTCTCCAGAACCTAAGCACTGTGAGGGTGGGAACTGTAAACCTGTCTAGTTCATTGCTATACCCCCATTGCCTTGGCTTATACCCTTGGAACCTGCTCGGGGCTCAGTGAATATTAACTGAATGAACAAAAAGTCTTCATTAGCTAGCTCCAGGAAAGAGTGGTGAATTGAAGTGTTAAAAAAGGGCCACTTTTTTTTTCCCCCTAGTCATCCTATGTTCTGAGTTTGAGGCCCGCGCCTCCAGTTCTGATTCTTTTTTGCCCCCGTCTCTTTCTTAGCATGCCGTGTGGCTTCTGGGATCTTAGTGCAGAGTCCTAACCACTGGACCAATCATACTATGATGCTCCCAACTCTGATTCTTAAGCATAATATGATTTTACATTCTAGAATTATTTTTCCTTTTTTTCTACTTTTCCATGAATTGATATGGCCATCCTTTTTTATTGAAGCATAGTATCCCATATCTGTTTGCCATATTTTTTTTTTTTACTTATTCGTAATTTTTAAGAACACTAATGGTGTCATACCAAATCAGACCAGTATTTCATCCAGGCCTAGCTACTCTTTGACAGGGCATCTAATTGTTTTCTGGCGAGATCTGGCATGATCCATGCTCAAGTATCAGAGATATATCTTGGATGCCTCTAATTTCTCTCCTATAACTTGTTTTGACTTTGCCACCTGTGAAGTTATGAAAACCCTTTGAACCATTTTCTATATGCTCTGTTTTCACAGTTTTTTTTTTTTTGCAGTAAGGGATATACATTTAAACCAAGTTTAAAAATGCTTTAGTATGGACATTAGCTACCACAATAGTTGCGTGCAACATTTTTAACATCTAGAAAGAAAGGATTTTGTTGCATTTTATTATTTCACACACCCAATCTGTGAATTTACTGAGCACTTATTATGTGTCTGGAATTTTGCCAAGGCCATTATACTGTATTTCTTAAAGCAGTTTGTAGCATTAGTCTATAAAACACTGTTCTTTGTGAATTTATCCTGAGTCCTGCGAATGCTGAAGTAGTTCCATGGTTTATTTTTATTGTTTGAAAGAATGTAAACAGCATCTTTCTTTTTCTCCATAGTATTTGGGAAAGCAATCCAAGCTCTCTCACGAATTAGTGATGAGCTGTGGCTAGACCCCTCTGAAAAAGGTGTAAGTAAGAAATTTAGCTCATAGACCATCAAGTAAGGGCAAAGGATGATGTTTAAAAATCCCAGTCCAGATTGAATGTTAACTAGGAAATCCAGAAACTGTAATTATCCCTTCCACTGTTGATATGTATTTTACATATCTGAATACATTTAGAGCATGGTAAACTTAAAAAAAATCATACACAATTGATTTAAGCCAGAATCACAACCTGGTGGTCAAGAGGCTAGATATGACTTGCAGAAATGTTTTGTGGGGTCTGTACTGTTTTTTTAAAAATTGAAATATAACACAGGGAGTGTGATTTGGTGCTCTGTGATGACCTAGAGGAGTGAGATGGGGGAGTGGGAGGGAGGCTCAAGAAGGAAGGGAATATGTATACTTATAGCTGATTCACATTGTTATACAGCAGAAACTAATACAATATTGTAATGCAGTTATCCTCCAATTTTAAAAAATTGAAATAATTTTCTAACAGTAGTTGAGAGAGTCCACATAAAAATCTGAATTTCTTGCTTCTCTTGAAAACTGAGAAGATCTGCTAGTTTGGGGCCTGCATTCCCAAGTGGAAGTATTAATGATTGACTGACTAACAATTTTTTACCTTAGACAAGGTAAGACTGCCATTTTGCTGCAGTCTTTTTACTTCCTTTCATGTTATTGCCTTTGATCATGTTGTACTTTAAAGTTAAGGTGCCTGTGAGCATTTACATTTTTGCAATTAAAAATATGTTCTTTTTGGCAATACAAACAAAATACAAATTCAACATGCAGGATTTTAGTCTTAAAAGCTATAAGTCTAGTATAGATATGGACACATATGTGTATACATATGCAAATTACAAACACACTCTAAAGGGGCTTCTCTGGTGGCTCAGTGGTAAACAATCCACCTGCCAACGCAGGAGACACCGTTTTGATCCCTGACCCGAGAAGATCCCAAATGCTGTGGAGCAACTAAGCCCCTGTGTCATAACTATTGAGCCTGTGCATTGAGGCCCGGAAGCCACAACTACTGAGTCCAAGTGCTACAACTGCTGAAGCCCATGTTCCCTAGAGCCCGTGGTCCGCAACAAGAGAAGCCACCACGTTAAGAAGTCCGTGCACCGCAGCTAGAGAGTAGCCCCCACTTGCCGCAATTAGAGAAAAGCCCATGCAGCAATGAAGACCCAGCACAGCCAAAAAAAGATAAATAATTTTTTAAAAACACACTGTATAATGCAGTTCATATTATAGCAGTATTATAATTCATATGTATAATGTGGTCCATATAATGCAGTTAACATCCCATAGCTTACTTGAATGCATTTCAATGACATGCTGAACATATTAGACTTTTTTAAATTAATCATTAAAGAAACCTGATTTGTTTTCCTATATGACTGTTATTTTATTTTTCTAGCTTGCTTTAAGATCTGTGAATTCTTGTCGGTCAGCATATGGATGTGTCCTCTTCTCTCCTGTGTTTTTTCAACATTATCAATGGTCAACCTCAGTGAAAATGAATGATACTGACATAATATTGAATTTAAATTGCAGATTGGGAATGAAGGTAAGTATAAGAGGGCCTGATTTCCTCTTGTGTTGTAGAAATGCTCAATATATAGGGTATAAGACCTATCCTGTTCTTAATACTTGGTTTAAATTGCATACAAGACAGGTCTGTTTATTTAAGAATATAAATACTCTTGTTAGATTTTTTTAAAGTAATCAAGCAACCATGTTAAGTATGTGCTGTTCTCTAATGTGTTTGCGTTACAGTCAATTCTGCCCATCTTTAGATGTCTGAATTCCCTAGAGAAAAATGTGGAGAAGTGCAAACTATTTACCAGATCTGATAAGTGCAAAGTAGTTATTCAGTTCTTCTGCCGACATGGTAGGTATAGTTAAATCTAGTTTAAAGTATGTGGATTTTTTGTTAATATTGTTCACGTTTAGAATATTCAGACTGCAATATTGCTTTGAATTTGTGTAGTCTATGGTAGGGAGGTTGTAAATATTATTGTACTTTTCTCTGTAGAAGTATTGTGAGATGACTGGTACTAATTCTTTCTTTTTTTGGCTTGTCAGTGGCACAGGCTATGCCTACATACAGACCAGTTGGGTTGTGGGGTTTTTTTGCCATATAGGATCTTATTTCCCCAACCAAGGATCAAGCCCATGCCCCCTGCATTGGGAGCATGGAGTCTTAACCACTGGATTACCAGTGAAGTCCCCAAACCGATTTTTTAAATGTTCATCTGAACTCTCACAACTGATTATTCTAAAATTAACTAACTGCTGGATGATATTCTGTAAGCGTGCCTTGTTAACAGTGTTCCTTGGAAAGACAGAAAAAGAATAATGCCTACTTGTATTAGAAGTGCTCTGAGTCCAGCCCCTCAATTGTAGGAGCCAAGACCTTCATTCATTCTCTCTGATACACCAAAGAGATTTCCTGCCTCCCAGCCTTGCAAGGTAGATATTCAAATGTTGTAGTCATATAGGATTTTACGTGGTTAAATATATATAGCATGATAATAAGGAGCATGGCGTCTGGAGGCTCCAAGTCCTGGGTGGAACCATGCACTGCTGCTTCCTTGCTGAGACACTGGGCAAATTATTTTACTTTGTGCCTCAGTTTCCCTTATGTAAAATGGGGACAATAGTAATACAAGCCTTCTAGGGTTTTTGTGAAGATTCAGTGAGTTATAGAAAGTTATAGCTCTGCAATGTTTAAAGAAATACCTGGCATAGTTTCTAAGAGGTATCACTAGTACTAAGTTTTCAGTTTCTTAAGTATGTCTCAAGTGACTTGATTAGTGTCCAATACATATTTGTGATTGGTAGATTTTTAATAGCTTTTGTTGGGAAATTATACGAGTTAGGATGCTCTAAGTTACAAGTAACAGAAAGAAAGGAAAAACACCCAGAAAATCCAACTCAAACTGACTTAAACGGTAAAGAGGAATGTTGGCTCATATAAGCTAAAAGTTGAAAATTAGATCAGAGGAGTGGTTTGACCCAGGCTGCAGCAGCTGCTTCTCCTTCTCCTTCCTTTTAAAATTCTCTCAGCTCTACATTCCTCCATGTGATTTATACTAAGTCCAACTTCTCTTAGAAACTTTTAATAATAAGGTGACTTCTAGCAGCAGCTGTTGGGGCCACATGCTTGCTCTTTTATATCCAAGAGGAGTGAGAGTCATACCTCATACGTGCATTGAACAAAAGTGCTTGGCTTGGCTCTGATTGGACCAACCTAAACTAATCCTGGGGGGCCACGGGAATTCCATTCTCTAATTGCCTTGGCTTATTGCCATATCTGGACCAAATTCAATCACAATGGAGATAAGATTACATCAATTGATTTATACCAATGAGGGCCCACAAGTGATGCTTGAAGTGAAGCTGGTGCCTCCCAAACCTCATGGCGGCTACAAAACAGGGAAGGAAGGAAGGAAGGAAGGGGAACAAAGGCAATAGATGCTAGTATAGTAATTGGGGTAAATATTAATACTTATATTTTCCAAAACTCTCTGTACTCAGGAAATTATGCTTGCAATTTTATTTCTATAATCTGGCAGGGAAACAGTGTTCAAATTTAGTTGAGAAAAATCACCTAGGCAAAGATGTCCAATAAATTGCTAGAAATACATATTTGGAATTTGGGAAGAAATTAAGGACAGTGAAGTAAATTTGGCTGTCTTCATTGATAGAAAACAGCTGTGAAAATATGAGCCACTACAAAAGACTAATTTCTCTGAATCTAACCACAAGTAGTTCCCGGAATGGTGATTTCTTAGAGTATTTAGCATCTATTAATAGAAAAAAGATGATTTATGTCATCAAGAACCAAGATTCATGTGAAATATTCACCTGCCTAATAATAATTCTATGAACTGTCTGTATTTTCATTTGCAGAAGTCCCAGAGTAGCTAAAAATGAGTCAGTGAGTTGTCCCTGAAGAACTTGCTCTGCTGATCCAAAGCACCTGGTACTAAGTTCTGTTCTGATCAAGAAAACAGGTCTCCAACAGAGAGGGGATTCCCTAAGAGGGGGGCACTGGCTATTTGAGTGAAAATAAAACCCTGATTTGTACATGTATATTAATGACGTGTGTCAAGAGGGCAGGATCCCCACTTCAGGGTTTTAAGATTTTTTGAAAGGTCATTTACAGATGTACTCATGACTAAACTTCGGTAACAGTGAATGTAAAGGGATTAGGAGCATCCCTTGTAAGATTTTTGAACTATCACTAACCTCTGAAATTACAAACTCCACAAATGGAACATCTCCAAAATAACGCTTACTCCTTAGCTGTGCCTCTTCAGGTCTGAGAGGATTCTCTGGAGCCACTGAAGGAAGTTGCAGATTGAGCTATGAAATAGCAAGCAAAATTCTATCATAGCATCAGGTATCCCATTGCTGGGAGCAGATGGTACAGACCAGTGCTATCAAGTGGTCCACGGACTGGCGGCTGGACCTCAGACTGTTTGTTACTGATCTGTGAGAAGATAAGGAACTTAGGCCAGAATTTAAGTCAACACTACTAAGCATTCTATTTAATTCAGCTGTTTTGTTTTATTGTTGTTTCAATAATAAGACTTTCTTAATGAAGGAAGAAATTCTGGTGAAAATTCCTTGTCTCATTATAGTCCAGTACTTTGTGCAGCACTAGAAAAAGTCAGTAAATGACACAGAGTAAACAGGACTTTAAATTTTTATCCCATTTGCATTCTATCACAGAAAATTATTAAACTAGAAGGCTAGAAAAAAATGCAATGAAGAAGTACATCAAGCCAAGTTACTTAATTTTTTAAAAGATTTATTTATTTATTTTTGGCCATGCTGGGTCTTCATTGCTGCATGGGTTTTCTCCAAGTGCAGTGAGCAGGGGCTACTCTCTGGTTGTGGTGCACGGGCTTCTCATTGTGATGGCTTCTCTTGTTGCAGAGCACAGGCTCTAGGTGTGTGGGCTTCAGTAGTCGCAGCACAAGGGCTCAGTTGCAGCTCAAGGGCTCTGGATAGAGCGCAGGCTCAGCAGCTGTGGAGCACGGGCTCAGCTATCCCACGGCATGTGGGATCTTCCTGACCAGGGGTTGAACCTGTGTCCCCTGCATTGGCAGGCAGGTTCTTAGCCACTGGACCACCAGGGAAGCCCCCAGCCAAGTTGCTTTTATTTTTATTTATTTTTAAATGTACTTTCATTAAAGTGAAAGTGAAGTCGCTTAGTCGTGTCCGACTCTTTGCAACCCCATGGACTGTAGCCTACCAGGCTCCTCCATCCATGGGCTTCTCCAGGCAAGAATACTGGAGTGGGTTGCCATTTCCTTCTCCACCAAGTTGCTTTTAAAAGGGTAAAATGGATGTACTTGAGAGAGAAAAGGTGAAGAGGAAAGGTTTTGTAGGTGCTGGCCTCACATCTGGGTACATTTCCAATGGTCAGAAACGGGAGGGCATTCTGCTATGAGGAAGCAGTGTGATCAAGGGTCTAAACTGAAAGTGTCTTGTTTGTGTTAACGAAAAAGGGGAAGGAAGCAAGCAGCAAGAAAAAGAGCCTCAGGGGTGACAAAGAAATAAGGCATCTCTCAACTTGGACATCCTTGGTAATACCAATACAGTATTCACCTGAGTCAGTTATTTGTTACAGAGGTATGATTGTGCTTGTATATGCATGGACTGTTTCTGGAGAATACCTAAGAAACTGGTGACAGTAGTTACCTCTGAAAAAGGTACTGGGGTGGCAGGAGTCAGAGGTGGAGGGTGACTAACTTTCATTGTCTATTTTTGGTAGTTTTTAAATGTTATGCCTTATGCATCTATTGTCTTCTATTATATATCCATCTAAAAGTAACTTAAAAATATTTTTTAAAATAAGTAAGATATGCCAACTTTTGAGCTTCATATCTTTCCAAAATAGCAGCCACAGTAATACCTTTAAAATAGATCAGATTATGTCACTCCAGCTCAGAACTCTCAAAAAGCTCACTATTGTACCTAAGATAGAAGCTGAAGTGGCCTATGAGGTCCAACATGATCCAGGAGTCCCAGGCATGCTTTCTCCTCAAGGGCTGGGCTGCTGTCCCCTCTGCCTTGCAATCTCCCTCTCCAGACAGCGCATGGTTTGATCTTTTGAAGACCTCCTTCAGTCTTTGCTCAAATGGCATCTTTTCAATGAGGTCTTCCTTGAACTCCCTATTTAAAATTGCTACCCCCACCACTGGCACTCCCAGCTCCCTTTCTGCCATTTTTAAAAAAAATTCCTGTGTACTTATCACTTTGTGACATGTGTGCATGCGTGCTAAGTCGCTTCAGTAGTGTCTGATTCTGTGCAACCCTGTGGATTGTAGCCCGCCAGGCTCCTCTGTGCATGGAATTCTCCAGAGAAGAATATTGGAATGGGTTGCCATGACCTCCTCCAAGGAATCTTCCCAACCCAGGGATCGAACCCGTGTCTCTCTCCTGCATTGGCAGGCAGGTTCTTTATCACTAGCGCCACCTGGGAAGCCCATTATGTGATATACCAACTGTTTCATTAATTCTTATTTTCTTATTGTGTGCCTTTCTTTACTAGAATGTAAGGTTTGTGAGGTCGAAGATTTTTGTCCAAGTTGTTCTTCACTGGTCCATAGCTCCCAAATCATCTCTAGTGTGGTAGATTACAGAAAAAAAAACAAACTCATAAATTATCTGAAGGCCTTCCCTTCAAAAGCTGAAGTCTGTTTCCCCACTTTAAATCTCAGCTGACCTTGGACTTGCTTTGATATCAGTAGAATGCACTAGAATTGGTATTGTGTGAGTTCCAAGCCTAGGCCTCAAGAAGCCTGTCAGCTTTCATTGTTAAACTAAGAACATTTCCATCAACATGAGAATAAGCATAGCCTGTGTAGATACCTGAAAGATGGGAGACCATGCGGTGTGAGGCCCCAGCCATCCAGACTGCCCCAGTGTCCCAACTGTGAGGCCTCGGATATGAAAGTGAGGCCATTCAAAACGATCCAGCCACTGTGAAACCAGCCCAAACCAGAGGAGTCACTTAACTGAATTGTGAAAAATAACAAACGCTTGTTATTTTGAGTCACTGTATTTTTGATGATCATTAAAAACTAATTGATAAGCCTGACAGACAGTAACTGCTCAGTAAATATTTGTGGAAATAATAAATATTGCTGTTATTAATTCAGTTAAAAAAATGAGTTGAAAAATGCTATTTAGAGTGAATCCTTTTGATTCTCGTTGTAACATTATTATGCTGTAGAAAGTTGTAGCCTACCTGGATTTTATTACATGGGCTCTATGTTCAAACTTAGATTCAGGAAAAAAAAAGAAAGAAAGAAACTTAAATTCAAATTCTGACTATACTTATTAAAACAGCTTAGCTTTGAAGTCATTTAACCAAGCTCAAGCTATAGTTTCCTCTTCTGAGATTAAGTACCTACCCCATAGAGATATTGAGAGGATCAGAGATAATGTCTGTGCAATGTATACTGTAGTTGTGGGTACACTGGACCATAGCCGTTACTGCTCCCCACTCCTCTCATCCTCTCAGAGGGAAAGAACACACCGATTCAGTGCTCCTGTTTTATTTTCAAAGGTCCCATTCAGAAATACCAACCATGGTTGAAAAATTCTGAAAGAAGTCATAGATACCTGATTGGTAGTGGGCAATTACTATTTTACACACAATTTAAGAAATTACCCATATTTCAAAAGAACGTGGGAACTCTACTGCCTAATTGTTTGGAGGGTGTGACATGTTACATAGTGTCCACTAGGGAGCGATAAACACATTCATTTAGGGTTAGTGTTTCTTGTAACTTATGTGCACCTGCTAGATATTAAATATTACTTTAATTTTATTATTTAATCTGAACTTAAAGTGTAAAAGTCTTTAAATTTTTTTAATTTTATGCTTAAAATTATTAACGGATTGTTTTACTATTTTTAAGGTATTAAAAAGATTCATAATGTGTGTTTTCAAGAAAGTCAGCCTTTGCAAGTTATTTTTCAAAAGAATATGTGTGCTAATACACTAGTGATTCAGCCAAGGTAATGAGCTCTCTGTTGTTTTTTTCCTTAATATAGTATGGTCACAGAGTAAAGAATTAATGCCCTAGAACTTTTAAATCAATTACATTTTTTAAAGCTAACATTAGACTTGGAGAAATCACCTACAGGATCAAGAGTAAACCTGAAGAAAGATAATAGTAGATAATAACTGCCTAATGGTAGAAATAATAATTTATTGGCCAAGAAAATTCTAGAAATATCCCATCAGTGGCTTTCTACATCAAGTGATATTAAGAGAAAAATATATTATCTGATAACACTTTGCCTTCGTATTGTGCTTTTATAAGACACTGTGTGTCTTAAAACACACAGCACGAGGAAATCTTAACAGTTTTTATGTGATTGATTTTATCCCTGTTTGTTTTTTCCTAGAGAATGAGTGAGATGTATTTGTCAGTGAGGGAGAACTCAATTTTTCAGTTAAACCATAGCATTAAACATTAATTATTTTGTAAGCCAAAAGATGTTTTACCCTTACTGTTTTTTATTTTTTTTATTTATTTTTACCCTTACTGTTTTTTTAAATTACAAAAGAAATACTCCTTGTAATACATCTAAAATTTATAGAGAAGTGCAAAGATGAAAAATGAAAGTCTTTCTCCTCTACTTACCCCATATAATGCACTTGGCAGGCATAACATCTATTAACAGATTGGTGTATATCTTTTTACCTCTTCTATTTATAGTCAGTTTGTGTATAACTTTCCCTCTCCCTATATCTATGGATACCTTTCTGTCTTTCAAAATTGTATCACATACTTTGTTGTTTAGTTGCTAAGCTGTGTCCAATTCTTTTGCAACCCCATGGACTGTAGCCCACCACGCTCCTCTGTCCATGGGATTTTCCAGGCAAGAATACTGCAGTGGGGTGCCATTTCCTTCTCCAGTGGATCTTGTTGACCCAGGGGTTGAACCCACATCTCTTGGATTAATAGCAGATTCTTTACCACTGAGCCACCTGGGAAGCCCCCAACACATACTGAGTCCTGGAAGTGAAACTGCTGGGTCAAAGGCTTAAACAAATTTTAAATTTGCATACATATGGACTAGCCAATTGCTATCTGAAAAGTTTGTGCCAATTTACATTCCTACCAAAAGTATAGGAGAATCCTTCCAAGTTAAGGATTATGATTAATCTTCAAAAATTTTGCCAACCTGTTGGGTAGAAAATGGCATTTTAAAATGTTCTTTACTATGTCTGTTTTATTACTAGGGGGCTTGAGCATCTTTTTACATTTATTAGAAGTTTGTATTTTTCTTTTTTGAATTGCACATTCATGTTGTCATTTTTTGTATCAGCTTGTTTGATATCTTGTACAACACCTCTCCCTTAACACTGGAAAAGTTCCCAGATTAATTTGGTAGGTGTTCCTGACATTTTGGCATTGAGAAACACTGCTAATCTAAAATCTAGCGTCAGGTTAACACGAACATTACAGAAATTCTAAGAATCTCATTTTTATCTAACCTCACTTTGATTTAAAAAATAAGCCAGAAATTTTAATTCAATAATAAAAAGATAAATAACATAACTAAAAAAAAATGGGCAAAGGATTTGAATGGATATTTTTCCAAAGAATATACGCAAATGGCCAACAAGCATATGAAAAGATGATCAACATCGTTAGTCCTTAGGGTAGTGCAAACCATACAGCTTTAAATCTGAGAATTGTGTAGAATATGAATTGTATCTCAATGAAGGTGTTTTTAAAAAGGGAACCCAGGATGAAAGGGCATTTGGGATGTCAGGACAACCTGTACCAGAGATTGAACAGGCCCGGGCAGTGAAAGCATGAGTCCTAACCACTGGAACACCTTGGAATTTCCAACGGTGTAATTTTAAGATATACAAAAAATATAGCAGGTCGTGTAGAAGAATAGAGATAAGTCTTTTGGGTAGATTCACCTGTTTATTTCCAGATTAAAGATTTGAGTTCCATTTCATAAGATAATTTCTTTCTGTTTCTTCTTCAAGTAGTGTAATATTGTTCATTGCATTTTGTAGGGTGCTTGCTGAGGCAATTGTTCTTTTTACATCGAGTCAAGAGGAAGTTACTCTTGCTGTTACTCCACTGAAGGTTTGCATTAAGAGTTCTAATGAGGAATCAATGGGTAAGGATTATATCTGTCACTGTGCTTTGATGGAATATTACTTCCTGGCTTTCCTGATTACTCTATGGTTATACAGTAAATATTACTGGCATAATATTTATTCTTGACTAAAAGGCAGTAAAAGTAAAACATAGAAAGATCATCAAAATTTTCAAGAGACCAAAGAAATTTGTCAACCAGTAATTAAAATACCTGGCTTTGAAATTCAAATTGTTTTAAAATTAGGAGAATGGTTACTGAGAAAAATATTTTTTCAGTTGAAATTTTAAGGTCTATTTCTTATCTTTTGTATTTAGCATAAAGGAAAGGAAGAGGCCAGCCATCCAATGGAGATGATCTTTGACCACATAAAAAGGAAAATTAACTTTAAGTTAGAAATGTAGGATATTCCAGATGGCAAATATATAGGGCAGAAAATGTGAATATTTCTTTAGTTCACTCTTCTAAGAGCTATCCAGATGTAATGGAGACACTATGGCATGATTAAATCTGGAGTTTTGCTATTAAGGAAATTTACTAAGGTATTTTTGGAATAAGCTGTTTGAGATTCTTTGATGTTGGATAATTTGGGGGGTGATAGCAGTAAAGAAAGAATATAAAGGTAGATACATTATTTGAAAGCGAAAAACTAGTATAACTAGGGCTTAAGGTGGGTCACATGACTTTGTAGTGTTTAGTTTGTGCCAGATGCTATTCTAAATGGTTTACATATGTGAATCCATTTGATCTTTGCAGCAACTCTATGATGTAGCTACTGTTAGTATCCTCATTTTCCATATGAACAATATGAAGCACAGAGAAACTAAGTGACTTGCAGCTATCACACAGTTAATATGTGGATTATGATCTGAATAGAGGCAGTCAGGTTCCAGGGCTTAGGCTTATTACCACCGTGCTCTTATTGCTTCTCTCAAGTCTCATCTAGTATTCTTTTTTGGCACTTAGAAGTGCATGATCTGAAAAAAAAAAATAAAAATAAATAAATAAAAAATATAAAAAAAAAAAGAAGTGCATGATCTGGAAAATATATGTGTGGCTACTGAGAGGGTCTGTTTTATATTCATAATGCCATCTCTGAATAAAGATGGCCATTTAGTAACCAGGAGACGCTATCCCTTGTGAGCAGCTTTCTAATGAGTGGTTATAGTTATGATTGACTCAGGACCCAGTTGTTTAATTTTATTATTGAACCTACTCTATGCCAGCACACTGGGAGTGACATGAGCCTTCTTTTCTTAATTTATTTTTTTAAGTATTCTTTTTTTGTATTCTTTTCCATCATGGTTTATTGTAGGATATTGAATATAGTTACCTATGCTGTACAGTAGGACATGCTTATCCATTTTACATCTAATAGTTTGCATCTGCTAATCTCAAACTCCCAATCCAACCCTCCCTTGCCCTCCCCCTACCCCATAGCAACCACAAGTCATGACATGAGGCTTCTTGATTGAGATGAAGGTATTTGTAAGGTATTGTTTGGTCCTTTTAAAATATAAATACTATTTCTCCTTTGTTCTTACGCTTAAATAATTCATGTTCATTGAAGAAAATTTAAAACATACAAAAAGCACTAATAAAGTCACCTGGAATCCCCCTATCTGGAGAAAAACACTTAATATATAAAAACACTTTTCTATATCTTAGATCTGAGAACAGGAGATTGGTTTAATTGGTGAAATACAGTGAAGCTATTATTAAAAGTAGTTTTGGGAGTTCCCTGGTGGCCTAGCAGGATTCCAGGCCTTTGCTGTCATGGGCCTGGGTTCAGTCCCTGGTTGGGGAACTAAGATCCTGCAAGCCATGCTGCACAGCAAAAAAAAAAAAATAGTCTTGTTTGTGTGTATACATACATTTCTTTCTCTCTGGGTATGTATATCAAAGATGTTTATTGAAGTTAATATTGTAGAGGAAAACACAGAACACCAACACACACAAATAATTTGGAAAATGTACTTATTGACATAAGGGACTGAGCTTCCCTCATAGCTCGGTAAAGAATCTGCCTGCAATGCAGGAGACTCCAGTTTGATTCCTAGGTTGGGAAGATCCCCTGAAGAAAGGAAGGGCTACCCAATCCAGTATTCTGGCCTGGAGAATTCCATGGATTTACAGTCTATGGGGTCACAAAGAGTGGGACACGACCAAGCAACTTTCAGTTATTGATGTGGAAATATAGCCAGGATATATTATTGAATAGATTATAAAATGGTATGCATAGTATGATCATATTTTCATTTTAAAAATGCACATGACATTTTAATAAAATATTAGAGAACAAAATTCACCTGTTATTGTCTGTCTTTTGGATTATAGCCATCCTAGTGGGTATGAAGTGTTGTCTCATTGTGCTTTTGATTTTCATTCCCCTAGTAACTAATGATGTTGAGTATCTTTTTTTGTGTGCTTATTGTTTATTTGTATATTTTCTTTGGAGAAATGTCTGTTCATATCCCTTGTTTATTTTTCACTTGAGTTATTTGTCTTTATTGTTCTGAATACTAGTCCCTTATCATATGTGCTGTGCTGTGCTAAGTCGCTTCAGTCAACTCTGTGAGACTCTGTGGACCAGCGCCTGCCAGGCTCCTCTGTCCATGGGCTTCTCCCAGCAAGAATACTAGAGTGGATTGCTGCGCCCTCCTCCAGGGGATCTTCCCAAGCTAGGGATCAAACCTGTGTCTCTTACGTCTCCTGCATTGGTAGGCGGGTTCTTTACTACTAGCACCACCTGGGAAGACCCCCTTATCATATATATGATTTCAAATATTTTCTCCCATTCTGTGAAGTTGATTTTTTACTTGCCATTTTTAAATTTTTTGGCCACCCCTCCTAGCTTGAGGGATAGAGGAAGTGGAGGTGGCAGTCTCTTAATGCCTGGGCCCATACCACAAACTAGCACTAGATCACTCCACCACATACTATTAGAGTAGACAGAAAGCCCACTCACCCCAAGGGGTAGGGACACAGATAGAGACCCTACCACTCAATGAGGAAATGTCAAAGAACTTGTGGCTATTTTTAACCTACTATTTATGGTTATATTTACTTTTCTTTTAAAGAAAATATTTATTTATTTGGCTGCACTGGGTCTTAATTGCAGGATCTTCCATTTTTGTTGCACTGTGTGGTATTTTTAGTTGCAGCAGGGGAACTCTCAGTTACGAAATGTGGGATCTAGTTCCCTGACCAGGTATTGAACCCCAGCCCCCTGCATTAGGAGTAAGGAGTCTTAGCCACTGGACCACCAGGGAAGTCCCTGACTATATTTTCTTATTAAAATTTCACAAATACCTACGGAATTGATGTTATTCTTTGTTTTCCTCTTGAACAGACCTGACCAATTCTGTATACAGTGAGATGTTTGTTGGTCCAGATGAGTTTGACTTCTTTCAAGTTGGAATTGACACTGAAATAACATTTTGCTTCAAAGAACTGAAGGTAAAACCAAAAGTAGTGTCCAATTAGAATTATCAGTGGCAGTTTTTAATAAAGATTTCATATTTTTCCCTTCTTTTCCTTTCAGGGAGTGCTGATATTTTCAGAAGCTATACATGCTCCTATAGCCATTCATTTTGACTTTCCTGGGAAGTAGGTCTTTGGAAAATTTTTTAGTTTATTTCTTTTTCTTTTGTCGTATACTAGTAAATAAAACCCCTTGGGTCACGTTGAAATTAATTCACACCTCAGGAATTCCTTAACTTTACTAGCAACACTTCTCAAACTAAAATTTTGAAAGATGTTATAAGCTAGTGTTCTTTTGATTGGTGACTTGGTTTAGAAAGAAACATTATTCTGCAGAGTGAAAACATTTATAAACTTGATATACTGAATAAATTGCCTAATTAGAAAATTATATATGGCTTAAACAAGTTAAATCTCTATGAAACTATGGTATGTTATATTTCAGAACTAAAATGTCAAAGAGATTGGGTTAGGATAGATGTGTCTTATAAAATTGGATGTGATGATTTTTAAGGGCTCTTTTAGCTCTAAGGACTATCTCAATTTGTGAAAAAACAAATAGACTTCTACTTTTACTGTTTCTTTTTACTCCAAAATTAAGTATCATTTTCTAATGTTTTCCCAGTGTCCATCAGAAAATGAGTGTGGTTTTTGCTCTGGTTTTGTCTTTTTTAGACCCATGGCTTTAAGTATTGATGATATGTTATTGGAAGCCAACTTTATTTTGGCTACATTAGCTGACGAGCCAAGTAGAGCATCTTCTCCACAAACACTGTGTCTTTCACAAAAACAAAAAAGGTAAGGCTGTGTTTTTAATGTCTTATTGGTTGGGATAAAGCCATTGCAACCTTATTCTGCAATAATTCAATGGCATTCGTTTAGGAAACAACTGAGAAGGAAAACATTAGAAGATCTGAAATTTTAACTGAATCAGGAAGAACTCCAGGAAGACCTAACTGTAACATAGAAATAACACCCATCTTTCACAGATACTTGCTTTTTTCTCTTATGATCACAATTTAACAGAACTGTCTGGTTTATCTTTGTCATTACCTAAAACTCATTTCTGTTTTCAGTGGTTGTTTTTCAGGAGTGATATAGTGTGAAGTTTCACATGAATTTTTATATTCATTGCCCAGAGCTCTCTTAGACATATGGACAGGCAGCCATTGTTTTTCTTTCTTTCTTTTTTTCCCTTTTGTCTCTCTCTTTTCTTTGTTTTTAATTTTGGCTGCACTGCATGGCTTGCAGGATCTCAGTTCCCTGTCCAGGGATTGAACCTAGGCCACAGCAGTGAACTGTAACGTCCTAACCACTGGATATCCAGGGAACTCCCCCTTTTGCCTCTTAACTTTTTTTTTTTTTTGGTGGAGGCTCCTTCATAGTAAAAATAACAAATTTCTATGGGAAATTAGGAAAATGCAATAAAGTACAAAGAATAAAGTGAAAAACACCCACACTTTTACCACCTAACGATAGCCACTGTTAATGTTTGGCACACTGTATTTTCTTTCAGACTTTTAATTTTGCATATATTTGCATTTTAAAACAAGATTGGCTCATATAGCATATGTAGTTTTATATCCTGTTTTTTTCCCACAAAATATTATATTGTGAACATTTTCTAATATTGCTGATAATGACTTGGAAAGATGCTTTTTAATGGTTCTATACAATTTTATCATACAGATGTATTGTAATTGATTTGACTTTTTTTTTTCCTACCTATGCCCTTCTACTGTGTTATAAGATTGTCTCATGCACACTTGGGTTGCTTTACTGAAAAATTTGAATCTGTAAGAGAATTTCTAAATAATCATATATTTGAACTTAACTTTCAAACAATTAGTTTGATGTTTTTTCAATATATTCCCTAAACTGTGTTATCATTGTCATTTCATGTTGCTCCTTTAGTTATATACAAATATATATTTCAAAGTAAACAGTACATTCATTTAATCTCTATTAATACCTCAGGTCAGAGCCGATACATTCAAATTCAAAGGCTGGTAAAAATGCAGCCAGCAAGGTCCCAGAGTATATCTCAAGAAAAGTAGAACTGAAAAGGCTGTATTCTGATGAGACTCCCATGAACACCTCTACATTGGAAAATTGTGGCAGCCCTTTAATGAAAAGAGCGAACAAAGACCTTACTGAAGTACCCGAAAGCAGTGGAGATATTAGTGAAGTCCCAGAAAGCAGTGTCGGTGACACGGAAGTGCCAGGGTCTCCATGTCTCAGGAAGGTAAAGGAGCAGCACACTGAGACACAGCTAAGCTGAGGCCAAGGGCTCACTCTCGTCCGTCTGCCTTTCCAGTCTCCCTGCCGCAGCCCACCCCCAGTCTCCTGGAAATTAATTTCCTTATTTTCTGATGGGGAGAGCTGAAGCCAGTCTGAGATGGAGAAAAGGTTGATTTATACAATGTCAATACAAAACAAATTGCTCATTGAGTAATTCTAACAAAGTATGTTTAGAGATTTGAGTCACTTGTTTTAAAGAACAAATTATGATTGTTTATAGCATATTTATCTTTGAGTACAAATATTGATAATATGTTAAAGTCATATACTTTGTTTTCTAAAATAAGTGTCCTAATTTTCTTTTTCAAGTTTGGTCAAGAAATCTCTTATTCATGGTAGCACAGATACAAATTTCATCACAAGAAACATCACAAATTTCTTCGTAGTAGAGTCCCAGTTTATAACATTATTGTAATACCAATATTTTGCTATTATAGATGGATGATAAACTTTACAAAATGCTATGATATTAAACCTTATGAAATCTATTGAACTGAAGATAAGCATAATTTATTAGAAGTATCTTAAATAATGATAGTCCACATTTTACATATTTACATTAGTGTTTTATTCAAGCTTGTTTTGCTGTTGTTATTATTGGTTTGGAAATATGAGTTTGTTAGAGTTAGAAATTTGAAAGGAGAAATAATATTGCTAGAAGTTACTACTTACTTCTCACTAGTCCTTTTCAGAATTGATAGTAATTAGCAAAATGGACCAATTTAAGTTGCATTTCCAAAGTGTCATTAGGATGGCAGCAGTCAGTTTTTTACTAAGAGAAAGAGCAGGGAGCTGACACTTCATGTTACACACCCCTATGAATTTTACATTTTTGACTTTCTTTCATTTTTAAGTCACAATATCCACTGCTACTGGGCTTTCCTGGTGGCTCAGTGGTAAAGAATCTGCCTGCCAGTGCAGGAGATGCAGGTTTGATTCCTGGGTTGGGAAGATCCCTTGGAGAAGGAAATGGCAACCTACACCAGTGTTCTTGCCTGGGAAATCCCATGGACAGAGGAACTTGGCCAGCTACAATCCACGGGGTTGCAAAGAGTCAAATACGACTGAGCAACTAAACAATAACAATGCTGTAATAAAGACTTCTAGGGTCGTAAAATTGGACAGTAAACTCCACTTATTATTCAGTTTGATGCCATAAGTGTTTATTGAATACCTGTTGTTATATGCCCAGTACTTATGGCAGTTTTCTCTTCTTGTGAATTACTAACTTGGTCATAAAAGAAAACTGAACTCTGTCTTTTCATTATGCAGAAACATTTTCCCTATCCTGTTTTTTGGTTACACATATTGTGCTTACTTTTATTTTTTTTATAGACAACAACAGGAACACATTTCCCTGCTGCTTCATCTCCCTGAAATTCACTAAGATTGCCAATTTCCTCACTAGGGAGTGACATTTAGAGCTGTAAGCTCCACAAGTTACATTACAGCACTCTTTTCTTTTCTATCATGTCACTTAAATCCTAAATTCTAAAAAGAAAACTCAATTTTGGAAGGGAAGTTTTTGCCTTAACTCCTGCAAAAATGAGATTACATTATGGGTAAATGATTGAGACCCTTATCATCTATCTGAACTCCGATGACCCTTCTGACTGGCCTCCCTACCCCCATTCTTCTCCACTCTGGTTTTCCTCCACACTGTACTAAAAGATTCTGTTTGGACCTTACAGTGAGGTATAGGGCTCCTGGGTTGGAGTCTCTGTCTTGCCACTTGTGTGACTTGGGCAAGTTACATATCTTTGCTTCAGTTTTCTTTCTGTTAGTAAAATGAGGATAATAATGATGAATTGTTGTGAGATTGAATTGTTTTGAAAATTAATTGAGCTAATAGATGGAGCTGGCAGATGGTCAGTGCTCAGCATCACTCTCCTGCTTTTAAATCTCTTGAATCGTCCACTTTTTCCATAGAATTTCACCTCAACTCCTTGAAATGGCATTAGGGGACTTTCCCTAGAGTATTTAATATAATTTTCTCATTTCCTCCTCTGAGATCCAGTTCTAGTCCTTCAGATTATGTTTTAATGTCTGGTAGATTTAGTATCCCTTTGTAGATTTTGTCAGTTTTTTTCCTGGTTATTCCTGAGTATATATTTTTTATTTGAACTTTAATATCAATGTATCCAACTCCATAAAAAAAAATCTATTGTTTTTTTTAATTAGGATTTCCTTATATTTCTGTTAACTTGAGGATGTTAAGTGACATCTTTATGTTGTTGAGTCATTCTGTCTATAAACACCGGCAATGTATTTACATTTATTCAGGTCTTCTTTTGTGTCTTTCAGGAATGTTTTAAAATGTTTCTCATACATTTACACATTTATTGTTAAGCTTATTCCTAAATAATTAACCTTTTATATTGCTATTGTGAATGGATGTTATGTTTTCTGTTTTCTCACTGCCTTTTGTGTATATGAAGGCTATTGTTTTTTCGTGTTAATTTTATATTGTACTACCCTGCTGACTCATGTTATTATTTCCATTAGTTTTATCACTGATTCTCTCAGGGTTTTTAGACATAGTTACTATATGTCTCTTTTTTATATACCAGTAGTTTCATTTCTTCTTTAATGCCTCCAACTGACTCTTTTGTACAGTTGCATTAGCACATAACCTCTAGTACAGCATTTAGAGTGGAGAGAATGGGCCTGCTTGCTTAGTTCCTGATCTTAATGGAAACATTCTGCATATACTTTTGTGTTCTACTTTTGCTCATATTATTGCGCCTACATTTCAGGGTAGTAGTATTCCTCTTTTCACTGTTTAAACTCCTACCCACCTTCAAAGCCCAACTCAAGTGATACATCTCCTTCTGAAGTCTTCTCATTCTACTCATTTTTACTGTCACATAATAACTTGATAGATACGCTTGTTATTCCACTAGGTAGATTGTGAGTTCATCAAGGGCAGACCTGAGTCTTATTCATCTCTGTATTCCTAGTGCATAAGCCAGTAGTTGGCAGACCTTCAGCCCTGGTTTGGGATAGCCTGAGAAAAATTTTAAAATCCCTCCAATAGTATCACAACATTCCAAAATGAAAGATGAAACCAATTTTTTAATTCACTTTATTAAAAAAAAATAAATATATGGTAGTATTCTACTTTGGGGAAGGGGGTTTTCAGAATTAAACTACTGTAGAGAAGTATTGGGCTTCCCTGGTAGCTCAGCTGGTAAAGAATCTGCCTGCAATGCAGGAGACCCTGGTTTGATCCCTGGGTTGGGAAGATCCTTTGGAGGAGGGCATGGCAACCAATTCCAGTATTCTTGCCTGGAGAATTCCATGGACAGCGGAGCCTGGCGGGCTATAGTCCATGGGGTTGCAAAGAGTCAAAACATGACTGAGTGACTAAGCACAGCACAGAGAAATATTGCTATATTCTCAATAATGACCAACATTTTTTCTGTTGTGGATGTTCAATAAGTTTAATCAAGTTATACACAGCTCTCAGGGACACCGAAATGAGGAAAAATATCTAGTATTGTTATCTTTTTTTACTGAAGTATGATTGACCTACAACACTTTGTAAGTTCTATGTGCATAACATAATGATTCAGTATTTCCACACATTACAAAATGATCACAATGATAGAAATTTAGTGGTTTTCAAAGACCAAAGCCCCATAAAAATTATGATAATATTGTTGACTATTTCTTCATGCTGTACATTTCATCCACATGACTCATTTATGCTGTAACTGGAATTTGTACCTCTTAATCTCCCTCACCTAGTTCACTCACCCCCCCCCCCCACACACCTCTCCACTCTGGCAACCACCTGTTTGTTCTCTGTATCTATGAGTCTGTTTCTGTTTCATTATTTTTGTTCATTTGTTTTGCTTTTTAGATTCCATACATAAGTGAAATCTTATAGTGTTTGTCTTTCTATGACTGATTTCCCTTAGTATAATACCTTGTATGTTCATTGGTTTTGTTATAAATGGCAAGGCTTTATTCTTTTTTGTGGCTGAGTAATATTCCTTTGTATATATGCACTGCATCTTCTTTACCCATTCATCTATTGATAGACACAGGTCGCTTCTATATCTTGGCTATTATAAATAATGCTGCAAAGAATATAGGGGTGCAGATACTTTGTTGCATTCGTGTTTTTATTTTTTTCAGAAAAATAGCAGGAGTGGAATTGCTGGATTGTATGGCAGTTCTATTTTTAAGAAAACATGTATACTGTTAAAAATTTTTTATAACAATGCACCTTCTTACTCAGTTCGTGTAGAACTTGGAGTCATTCCAAGTTACATAGCTATTCAGACTTTCTGCATTAGAAGACTGTTAGACACTAGGGAAGGGCTTGATCATCCAGCCATGAACGATTTAGAGACTGAAGAGTAGGTGGGGACAAGAGGGGGTAGCAAATGACATTTGACCTTAAGTGAATGGCAAATTCAGGGCAGCGCTCAAAGGCCATAGTAAACTAAGATTTTCAGCTTACCAGTGTATTAGTTTCTTATTGCTGCTATAGCAAATTACCACAAGCTTAGTGGCTTAAGACAACACAAATTATCTTTCAGTTCAGAAGTCCAAAATGGGTCTCACTGAGCTAAAAGCAAAGCATTGGCAAGGCCGTGTTCCTTTGTGGAGACTAGGGAAGAATCTGCTTTCTTTCTTTCTTTTCCTTTCTTCTTGAGATCATCTGCATTCTTTAATCATGGTTACCCTTCAGCTTTAAACCAGCAATGGCTGGTGGAGCCCATTTCACATTTCCTCACTCTGATGCTGATTTCCACATTTAAGGATCATTGTGATTTCCCACTGGGCCTACCTGGATAGCAACCTTATTTCACTTGCTCTTTTAATTCCCTTTTGCCTTGTGATATATTCACAGGGTCCTGGGATTAAGATGTGAACATCTTTGGGGGTGAAGGTAGACCATCATTCTGCCTACCACAGGCAATATCACAGCTAATTTGGGGTGTTTCATCTGGAGTCAAGGTTCAACAACTGCTGTCTGAAGTGCCCCACGCAGAGGGCATCTTCAGTTTCTGATTTGTAAGGATGAACCAAGAATAGGGATCGTTTGTTTATTCATGCTTGATACCTACTATGCAACTCCCACCAGTATTTGTTGAGGGCCTTGCGTCTTAGACGTGGGGTATACAATGGTGTGCAAAATAAATAAGAAAGTTTCCTACACTTAATTATAGACTGGGTATGGGGGTGGGGGAGGTAGACATTAAACAAATAATCATATGACTAAACGTATGATAATTAAAAAAAAAAAAACTAACCTGTGGTAACTTTAATAAAGGAAAAGTTCAAGGTGCTTTGAGAAGATTTAAAGTGTGAGCTGACCTAATCCAGGTCAGAAAGTCTTTGAAACTGGTGTTTGGAGCTGAGCTGGAAAGAATAAGATAGTAGGGGGAAGCTGAGTGGATGTGGCATGTGCAAAGGCCCCTGTCATGGAGGGAGTGTGGTAGTTTTAAGGACCTGGAGGAAGACCAGTGTGGCCAGAGGGCAGATAGACAGGGGAAACAGTGGCACAGGGTGAATGAAACTGGAGCAGTGAGTGAGTTCCAACTCATGTCGGATGTAAATGGCCCTATCAGGTACTGTGGCAGTGAAAGTATTTGAAGGGTTTTAACGGGGAAGGCTGCCCACAGTGCAGTGAAGCAAGACTGGAAACTCAGTTGTGGTGTCTGATGGTGATTCAGTAGAAAATGGAGAGAAGTGGCCAAAGTAAACAGCTAATTGAGGAAATAAAACAGCAGGACTTTGTGATGGATCAGTCATGGAGCTTAAGGGAAGGGGAGGTATCAAGGTTGGAGAAACAGGTTCAGTGCTAAGATCATGAATTCTATTTTGGATATAAGTTGCAGAAATCAAGTAGGTAGTAGGATAAAGGAAGCTCAGATTCTAACTGTGAGACTCCCTGGCATGTACACAGTAATTTCTGCCAGCAGTGTGAATGCGAGTTCCTCGAGAGAGGGTGTGGCAGAGAAGACTGTCACCATTTAGAGGCATGGCTCTTAACCACAGCCAGGGGACAAAGCCATCAGTGTCTGCAGACACTTACGGATGTCACAGTTCAGGAAAGGGGGCTGCTCCTGGCATCTGGCGGGTAGAGGCCGGGGTGCTGCTCAGCATCCTCCCAGTAGCAGGACAGCCCCCACAGCAAAGAAACTGAATCCTCCAACGTCAGCAGTGCTAAGGTTGAGAAACCCTGATTCAAAGTGTGGGTAGAAGAGGGCAAACATTCATTTGTTTCACTTAAAGATAAATAAATTTAATAATAATAATAAAAAGAAGGCAAGCCAACTGAAAAGAGCAACCAGAAGAACATAGCACAAGGAAGGTCTGAGAAGGAAGTGTCAGAGTGAGGATCTAGTGGGCTGGGGACTGAGAATGGCCATTAGTTTAGGGCATCTGGCAATTTTTGGTGACCATTATAAGGACAGTTCCTATATGCGGGTCAGGAGCTTTTTTAGATAGGACCTAAGAGTAGGAGAATGAGAAAATAGAGAAAGCCAGTGTAGACAGTTCTACAGCAGAGATTAAGTTGGAGGGAGGATGTGGATGAGGCTATATATTTTAATGAGACATCTGATTATTTTTAAATGCTGGTATTCCTATCCAGTAGAGGAGAGGCATGGGAGGGGCTGGGAGTCAGAGACTGGGAGGGAAGGACTGACTCTGGTCAGGAGTAGCTTTTGTCACAGCAGGAGGGATCAAGTGGAGGAAGATAGCCAGCAGTCTCAGTTCATCTGTCTCCCACAGCCCTGGTGTTGGTTTCAATGGCTCGGGCAGGGTAGTCAGAAACAGATCACTGATCCCAAACTGTGTGCCCCTGGAGTCCAGGGAAGGGTTTTACTTTAGGATGTTTTGGGCCACTCATGAAGGTTCTGAGTGTCTCATGAACCATCAGCTAATGTGAGGCCACAGTGGCTGAGTTTCTGAAGAGGGGCATTTGATAAGCACTAACTTTCTTTGAATGAACAACAGTTACTTCCCTCCCCGCTCCTCCAGTTCTCTTGCTTGTTCTTTGGAGCAGTTTCTTCTGACCAACAGGAACCCTTCAGCCTCCCTTTTCAGAGTCTGGCCACAGCAAGTTGACAGTGGAAAGGACATGAATAATGGCAGTTTCTCCACATTCTAACAGCGATGGCTGAGCTCGCCCCCCTGCCCATTTACTGGTTCACTTGTACTGAAAACACATTTTCACATTTAAATCTATGAAGATACTGTCTTGGGCTTCCTGGAGAATGGGCTACTGGTTATCTAATCATCATCTTGTACAACCACCATATCTAGCAGTATATTGTCAATAAATGTAACTTGCTTTAAATCTATTACACTACGTGGGAGGCAGAAAAGTTTTTTGTGTCAGGAAAAAGCTCATTGGAATTTTCTTCAGTTCAGGGAATTCCCTGGCAGTCCAGTGGTTAGGACTCTGAGGTTCCGTTCAGGGGGCAAGGGTTTGATCTCTGGGACCTAAGGTTCAACAAGCTGCATGGTGTGGCCAAAAAAAAAAAGAATTCTTCAGTGTAGTGTTTCTTTACAAGAGTTTTTAGCATTTTGCCAGTTTTATAGTTATTTAAACTTTCAGTAGCAGCCATTTCAAGTGCATCAGAATGGCTTGTAAAGTTCAGGTATCTTTTGTATTTGATTTCAAGTGTTTTGAGCTTTGATGCTGACAGATTAAAACGTTCTGCAATCTTTTCTTAAGTAAGATCATAACTTTTACACAGCAGGGGAAGAAGAGAGTGAGATGAATGGAGAAAGCAGCATCAACATATATGCACCGTCAGGTTTAAGATGGATAGCTGATGAGACGTTGCCGTATAGCACAGGGAGCCCAGTCTCTTGCTCTGTGATGGCCTGGAGGGGTGGGGTGAGGGGAGGCCCAGAAGGAGGGGATGTATGATTATGGCTGATTCACATTGTCATATGGCAGAAACCAACCCAACATTGCAAAAAAAAAAAAAGGCAAAAAACCCAACTTTTTCTCCATTACTTATATTTTGTTAAGAATTTAAATAATGTGATTAAAAAATTTTGCAGTGTGATGCAGAAAAGATGCAAAAAATTATTTCTTATTAGCTGACATAGAACAGCAGCCTCTACTGCCAGAAAGCCTGGGTCTGGAGTGGAATGAGGGGGAAGATTAATGTCTCTGTTCTTTGCCTCTTTAAGAATTAGCTTCTTACCGGTACAAGCTAAACAATCTGACACAATAACATTGTTATGTAACATCTTATGATGTATGCCTCTCCCTCCCCTAAACCTGTTTATAGTCAGTTATAACCTGACAAACTAGACTTCTGTTAACACCTTATTGTTAAGTCTTTGAAACCGTCAAATCACAAGGAAATATTAACTGGCTAGCAATTGTGCTTTAGATTTTCTGAGGATTAACAAAACAAAGGTGGCTAAGTGGATTAGTAAACTTTAGAACTGTGAACAGAGTTCTAACTAAAACCAGAATGAGTCTGGCTCATGCAGCTTGGTGATGAGTCAGAACTACCCACAATAACCTACTAAAAACTCGTTTATCCCGAAATGTTCCTCAGTGAATGAAAATGGGTTTTCACCAACCTTTTTGTGGAAACTGGCAATGCCCACATAATTCCACATTGTAGGCTAAAGATTTATGTATCTTTTGTTTACACTGATGATTAATAATGAATTACACATATTCCTAACAAATGCGGATGACTACCCAGAGGATATTATATCCAAGAGTAAGTGTAGGTCTCCTCACTGAGGATGAAGTTTCTGACTCACTAAAATGGGTCAAGGTGGTTTAGTCTGTGAAGCCACCATCATCAGTGATCACCTAGATTCAGCACTGATCTGTAAAAGATAGATACGCTGTCAAGTTGTATATAATTTGGATTTCAGAACTGGATACAGAATGCTAAATTTAAATGACACCAGATTTGTGTGTGACTTCACATACCATTTAAAAGAAAGATGCAAAAGTTTTCCCAGCTGGGAGAACAGCTATATGTCACATTCAATGATTAAATCCAGTTTGATTCATTTTTGAGGAAGCTAAAGTGATGTAGTAAATCAGCTGGTGAAAAAGAGCCTTAGGGATAAACTAGTGAAAGACAGAAACGATAGCCACAAAGTTATGGAGTCACTGCTACACTAAGAGGCTTGGAAATGAGGACCTGATAGAGACCAACAAACTCAATGGCAAGGGCCAGTGTCTTGTTACTACTCAAATTAAATGGAGTACACAGATTAGTATAAATACTATTATTTATTAAATATCTTTACAGTTTATTTAAATGTATTTACAGAACTATTCCTGCATAAGTTATACTTCAGACATCCAATTCAGGTCATTGCCTCTTGGGTAATAAGACAAATAATGATAGTCTCAACAGAAAAGAGCAGCTCATTAGTATACACAAATTCAGACTTGCTTCATTGTTTAGCCATCTTTGCCACAAACTACCTGCTTACAGTTAAAATTTTGACATGGACAACTGCTGATTTTTAACTAAGAAGCCCAATTTTGCAAATTTTTTTTTAAACAAGTAGAATCCAGATGTTTTGTGTTCCAAATGTTTTATAAGCAGATTTTGGTTTTTTTGCTATTGCAAAATTTGTTAAATGCACAAATGTGATAGTTTCCGGGAACACTGGATGCTGTAGCTTCTACCAAAGATAGCTGGTATAAGGTGACAAGGAACCATGGACTTAATCAAAAGTACAAACATTTACAGCTCTAGCCAGTCTCGTCTACAATCTCCAAGATGCTCAAAACTGCCTCCGTGAATTCCCACAATTCCTGCCTTGTTACTTGATGTGGTACACTGGTGGTACTGAAGGTGGTACTGAAGGCTACTGTTCTACCCAGAACAAATGCAACTGATGGCATATAAGATACCTGCCCACCATGCAAAGCTGGAAGTCTATTTTCTAAATCTAGTCACAGCCCAACCCCCAGACATGCACAACTGGAATGGATTCTTTTGTGATTTAGTACCCATCAACCATGTCAAGCCAGTACAGTAATTCAGGACAAAGAACTTGTTCTCTCAACCTCATTTCTTCTTTCAGTTTTAAGAGCCTATGGACTCTACTGCATATCCATTTGGTAATTTTTTTTTTTTTTTTGTGCGCAGGCAGCCTAAGTTCACAGGAAGAAACAAGGTTCTGATATGTTTAGAGTGCACACTTTAAAACAGAACAAAATAAAAATTTCAAGCATGTGATAAAAATATTGATTTTTATAATACAGTATTGCTTTATAAATATAGATGGAAAAGCTATAAACTTTACTGGTCTTTGGTGCATCCAGAGAGGGATAAATAATTTGCCATTTTTAAATTAGAAATCCAAATTCTCTTTTGTTATAAAAGTCCACTACACGAGGCAAATGTGTGTGTTTATACTGTTTGATTTAAAGTACAATTAACACATCAAGTTTAGAATCAGACCCACCAAGTGGTATATGTCAGGCACACCCCACAAAGACTTTGGTCCTGTGGCCTGGAAAATTCCAGTATGGGTACCTACACAGCCTCTGACCATTGAGAGTAGGGGAGTTGTTAAACAGCACTCCAACAGACCCCCAAAGTCATAAAATTAAGTGCATAACACAAAAAGGGCAGGGGGGAAAAACAAAATATTTTGCGTCCCTAATCTACAGGCCAGGTCCAAAGTCAGTTCCCCTGTGAAACTCAATTCTTGCCCCACTGTTTTCAACATCACTGAAACACATCGTCAATTTCTAACGATCATTTCTCAAAAAATACTAAGTTGATTAAATGAGTTGTGTAAAATGCCATCAATCTACCTTTATGAAGACGGTGTTTGATGAGTTTAGATGAGTGCAGAGAAAAGCCAGTGACTTGACCAGCAATGCTCTTACCAGGAATTAAATGTATGCAATGGAAAATTAATACAACATATACCTGGATCATAAGGCTCCATGCTTCTGACCAGAAATAAAAACCCAACAAAAGAACTGAAGTTGTCAGTCCAAGTGTAAATGTATTCCTTCCAACAAAACCTTTCTGGATGCAACTTTCTTTACTTTTTAAATACAGAAAGACTGCAAATAGTTTGTGCAAAATAAATACCCTGCCACTTGCCACTCACCTGTCTGTGTATTATCACAGCATGATGGGTTCTCATTATTTGAACAGTCTCTCTCCACTCCCTACCCCACCCCCCGATCTCCTTTACCAAAGAATTCTGTTTTGTCAAGTTAGGGTAGTTAAGGCATTCTGACAAGTAATTAAAGGTGATTCAAAATAGGTATCTAAACATTATGCCAATTTAGGAATAGTAGATAAATTACTGAACGGCTTACAAATGAATAACTCATTCTTATTATAAATGAAATGCCTGTTACAAGCATGATGCATTGAATATAGTAATGACATGTACATGGTACATGTTAAACAATTTTAAATAAAACAAGCTTGACAGTTACTCAAATATACAGTACAAATTCACAAAACAAAACCTTTTTAAAACAAGTTGAGGTAACCTCAAACATAAGTTTTAATGCAATAAACCAGGGAGTAAGTATCTCCTTTAGAGAAAGAGACTTTCTATGTTCTCCTCAAGTAGATTCTCATCAGGTTTAATTGCATTCTTATCTATACACCAATGTTACCTGACTTATATATAAAACATGGCTTTAATTTAAGGATTTCTAAGTATATATATTTTTCTACCACCAAGTTAATGAAGGAAAAAAACGGACCCCAAAATATATATCTTTACAGCAGTTGACTTGTACACAAACCTTAAAAATAACTTTGAGCTTGCAGATAATGGAAAAACTGAATACGGGATAATTTTATAGGGAAACTATACACTGCAAGATGGCTATTTGGAAACTGTAAACATTAAGCTTGATTTGGAAACCCCTAAATTTCTGTGGAGGGCAGATGCAAATGTCAGATCATCACTAGACCTCTTCCTTGGGGACTCCTGTGCCACTGCCCATGGTGCTCCTTCACATGGACTCCCTGAATCTGGTACACGCTCTACACAAAGCAGGGCTACTAACGACAGGTCTAAGACAGGAGGGGTAGCATGACCTGATAGGCCAACAAAATTCAAAGCTAGAGCTGTCCATTCTC